TAGTGTTTTATTTTTTAACTGTACGGAATTATAAAATAAAACGCAAATTATAATCGGGCCTTCCATCAATTATAGTGATGAAAAAATGACTCGCCATCTCCTAATTGGATGTGCCTTTAGAGAGAAATGCAGGAATTACATAATGAAAGAGTTTATTTTATTAGGAGTCCATTTTCGATTTGAATGATTTCGTTTTAAAGTAGTAATTTAAAGCTTTCTATATATTTTGATCATGTCTGAGTTTAGGTTCATCATTGTGAAACGCTCCTGTTCAAGACCGAGACGGCAGAAAGCGTTTGATTTCTTTATTTTATAAAAGCACAACGTTGATATTGTGAGTGCACACAAATAAAACTAGACCCTTTACAGTTTAGAATGATGTATTACTCTTACCTTTATGAGCAAAAATGACTGCGTATTTTAAGTTGTTTCCACTGTTAGAAAAAAATACAAGTGATCGCGCTGGCGCCTCCATGTCCTGCAGAGCTCGCTTCAGCTTCCACTCCTCCGCAAACGATTGGATATGTGTCTAACAGCGCACATTTATCTAGGTTAAACATTTAAACTAACATTGTGATATACTTGACCTGTTTTATATATTTATTTTAGGCAAGTCCTGATGATTTGAGAAGGCTAAATTGATCACATAGGCTATAGGCTATGATCAATTCACTGTCTGCCGCTGGCCTTTACTTAATTTTTTTTTTTTTAAACTTACATTTAACGAACAAAAAATACTCCAAATATTTTTCAAAAATTTACTTTATAAAAAAACGAAACAAAATATAATCACTTTTCCATTACATACAAAACTTAACTATTTTAATAGCTGAAACAGTATAAGCTTTTTGGGGGGGGAAAGACGGGCTATAGGGCCTAAATTTGAGACCCGTGAAGGTTATTTTTTCAGTTTTATTTAAATTTGTAGTTAAAACAACTAAACATAAATGTATTTTAAAGTTTAGAATTAGACAGCCTTTGCACACAGGCTTACGCTGAAAACAACAAAACGGAACCTCAAGGTTGATCTAGGAAAATGTGTGCAAATGTATAGGTCCCCATTCCTATATTTTGCCTGGGGCCCCCAATTCACTAAATCCGCCCGTCTGAATGTATCCCGCTTCTTAACCCAACAGTTACAGGAAAGTTTGGAGAATAAAATTCAGAGATATTTTATTTAAGAGGGTTTTAGAATTGTAGAATACTGCGTTTTTAAATGTTTTCCTTTTGAACTCATTGGATTTCAAATTATTGGAATATACAAATGAAAAGTTTAAAATAATTCACTTCAACATCTAAGGCTATAACCATTCTAAATGTTGTAATTGGAATGAAATAAACAATGCTTATTGAAAGTACTTTTGTATTGGCTTTTGTCAGGTGGCACAGACACCCATTTAATATGCATCTTTTGAGTTAAAGGGTCTGTGATTAAACTTTCCAACAATCCAGAAGTCACTGTTTTATTGGAAATAAAGATCAAACTTTCTCCTACTGAAGGGATTTCAACTGTAGGAATAAGAAAATACACATGCAAAGGAAGCAGGTGGGCCATATATGATAAACTTTATCATACAACAGAAGGGAGAGACGAGTATCATTTATAAAGTATCATTCACAATAGATTTACAAATATAATAATAACTCATAGTTTAAGAAAAAAAGGAAAAATGATATTTACTAAATCAGACCAAAACAAGACTATTTAAATCTGTACAAGTGTCTTCATCGACACCCAACAATTCATTCATCGATCCTCCGATGAAGACGCCAACGTCCACAATGCATGTTTAAGGGTTCTCACACTGTATGTACAATGGTTCGTCAGGGTTTGGGAGAATATGAAATAAACGAAGCATTTGAATCGCATCAGTTCCAGCATTCTAATGCCCTTCAGAAGGCAGAATAAGACTGAGCTTGTGAGGAAGACAGTTTATTTCTTGCAGACGTTTCCTCATTTTCTTCACTTGATGTGCAACAGCTTCTCGGTGTCCACTTTTAAGCGTTTGCGTTTCGGTTGTACGACGTCATCGTCAGAGTCCTCCGAATCCTTATCGGCCTCCACTCGCATCTCCTTCTCCATGACTACTACTGTGGCCACTGTGATGAACTCAAGACACCCCAAACAGAACAAATCCATCCACTGAAATGACCTGAAGTAAACGTACACATTCTTTGGTAAAACAGAAGCCGAAAAATCTCTATAACATTCAGTGTGTAATAACTGCATATTTGATTCATGTATTGCCACTGCATTTAAAATGGCAGCGGTTGCAGATGTCAAATTAACGGCATGACTGAGATTTGCTGTCAATAACAAACTTCAACACACAACAACACTCAAAACTTTCATAATCAACTATATTGTAAAAATGATGTCAAAAACGCAACTTGGAAGGGTTATTATAGGCTAACTGAAACTAAATCCATTTTGGTTACAAAAACTACCAAAAATGACAATTACTCAAACGTTTAAATTAAAATGAAACGTAAAATATAAAAATGGATTCAAAAATATTAATAACTATATTAGTACTTCAATGATACAAAAAAAATAGCTTCCAAGATATATAAAACTGAAATGGAATCATTTGTGTACATGGGATGCGAGTTTGAACGCATCAGAGGCCTTTAGTTTTATTTTACAGTTTCACAGGCACTAAACATGAAATCAAAATGAGAGTTTTACTCCAGGTATGTTTGCTTTAAAGTTACCAATATTATGCTAGTGCAAAAAGCTGAGAAATTTCACTTATTCTTTAGAATGAGAATGTTCCTCATTACGACTAGCAAAACTCGCAATTTAAAGCATGTTGGCCGTTTAAAAAAAAAAATCAAGACCCACCCAAACTTCCATTATTAACAGGAAATACAAACTCATGGAGTTTGCTTCATGGGGTCTTGAATGAATGTCAGAAACAGTGAATGACTGCAAAACTGGCATTCATATCATGCATTTGATCGTCATTTTTATTGTTCAAACAATAATCAAATGTATCATACCAAAACACTGTGCAACATTACAATAAACATTCCTTTAATGGTGTGAGACACCACAAAGTGTGTTAGCCCTGTGACAAACACAAGCTCAACATCCAGCCGCTGATTAATGCTCAGCTTGACTGAAACCATTCTTTTAATAGTTAGTACTGGCGACCATAAGAAGCAGTGAACTCATGCAAATCCATCACATGTTCTCATGCTGTGTTGCTTTAGTGTATTTCATACTCTCCAAATACTCGTTTCTTACATGCACCCCCACACAGGTTAAGGACATGCCCCGAACTCACCTCATTATATTTGGCACAATTGCTAAAGACCAGGCGCACGTCGGACACAAACTCTTTAGGACTCTTGTAATGCAGAGGATGTTTTCGCTGCAGTTTCCGCTTTACCAGGGTCAAATCCATAGGATGCTTTATTATTTTATAGTAATTGGGTACCTGGAGAGAAATCAAGGCTTCAGCATTAAAACTATAATGTTGAACATGGGGATCTCTTCCAAACCATTTAGTTTGCCCTTCAACTCAACATTAGGTATTATATGTGCATCCCAAATGAAAAATAACTACTATTAATACTATTTAACAGTATTAAGGCCTTTCCACACTGAGCGCGATGTGAAAAAGCGAGGCGAATCGCTGACAAATGGTGCTTTCACACCGAGCACGAAACGATTGTTCGCCTTCTGCTAATTCACGCCTGCACGCTAGGTGGCGCCGACCAACAATGCATTTTTCCTCAGATATGTATCTCGTAAATGGATTTAACATCATCCGCTGCTCAATATACAGCATTAAATTAAGATAAACAAGGTTCTACACCAGAAACAAACTATCTATAATACTTACAAGAACAGGCTACATCCTAAAATATAATTAGAAGTAAAATTAGCATCAAGCTACACTTGAAATTTAAATTATTAATGTATTGGCTTACCCACTTTAAACCATCATCGAGTGCTTGTAATAACTTCCAGTTGTGATCTATAGTTGATTTTGATTAATAAGCAGACACATGCACTCTTTGTATGTGTAATAACGCTAAACTGCTAATATTTGTCATAAACATCCTTTATTGCTATAAAAATACCATGAGCTGCATACAAAACACATACAGAAAATATATTGTTTACATGGTTTTTGAAACAGTGCCACCACTCTTGCCTTTTTTGTGCAACAGCAGATGCTCCAGTCACATGATCCTTGCTCAAATCTTATTGGACGGCCCGTGTTTTCGCTTTGCAAAACTGAAAAGATTCGTCGGACTGGTGCGAAAAAAAAACATTCGCATTTTCGGGGCGCGAATGTTCGCGGTCTATGTGGAAGCCTCCATAGAAATGTATTGTTTTATTCCAGAGCGTCATCGCGTATGATATTCGTTTCGCTTTTTCGCGCTCAGTGTGGAAATGTCTTTAGCCAAAAGCAAAAGGCCCATAATGCATTGCAGCAAGCTCAGTTTTCTCTGCTCCAGTGTTGTTAGCTAACACTAAAACCATTAAAAATCATTCATTCATTAAAATGAAGCTAAAATAAAATGTTACATGAAACCCTAACCCTAACCCTAACCAAACTTTAAAAAACTTAAAAATTAGAAATGTAAGTTATAAAGAAATAAAACAAGTTGAAGTACTAAAATTAAGTAAAACAAATAAAAATCAAGTTAAATAAAAGCATAAAAAATAATGACAAAATCACATGATAAAGTTACTAAAACTATTACAAACCATTTTCGATAACTGAAGTTGAAATAAAACATAAATATTAGATGAAAAACAAAAACTTTAAAAAAAGTGTCAAAATTAGAAATGTTGCCTTGGCAAATAACTAAAAATAAGTTAAAGTGCTAAAATAACTAAATAAGAAATAAAAAGTTAAATAGAAAAAAAAAACTAAATGACAAAACCACATAAAATTACTAAAATTTAAATGAAAACTGAAAATATATTAGCCGATTCAACATATCAATAATATAATAGTATATAAATAATAATACAATTAACAACTGCTCAGCTCAGAAAGTAAATTATGATTAAAAAAACATTTCAAAAGTATAGACAGAAAATGAAAATTTCAATCTAGTTGTGTATACTTAAGAGTCCTGCCAAATATGTAGATTTTCTAGAGTATCGCTTGTCAGGAAAGACAATTTACTTGGCAGCCATCTTATTAGTGCCCTTCAGTCATGCAAGTACAGCTTATACATATATTATGATATGAATAAGGAAAGACTGAAAGCTGTTTGTCAATGTGACATTTAAATAACATTTCATATCAGGACATCACTTGTTCTGCCTTAGAAGGAAAATCCCCATGTTGTAGATAGCAGTACCGCTCACTAGGTTTTAGAACTGAAGTAGTGATGAAAGAGCAAAGTGAGGGGGTATACAAGACCAAATTCAATGAAATTACAAAATCATTGTTACTACCCATCACCCTGATGCATTATTGCATTCACTCAGTAATGTAATTACACAAGAATCATAATCCTGCTATGATAAATAACAGCAGGAAACGGCCCAGAGGCTCAATACATGTTTGAAAACAGATGACTGGAGTCACTACAGATGTTCATGTGAGCGATGTTGCGGTTTTCGAAGCTTTATTGCAGTAGTGTTAATGACCTAGCAGTGAGGCAGTAATTAAATATTACCGTTCGTACTGAGTAATGGTCCAATTACACATCTGAGCTTTGCCATTTAAGAACACTTTATGGGAAATGAGGATATTGTGGGCTTGATGGAAACTCACCGATATAGAAACAGGCTCTTGAAATTCTGTACTGAGCTCATGACAAAACACATGCAGCAGCAAGCGCTCACAACGCTAAAAATACAGGAAGAGGAGAGAAGAAGAAACATTAACAATTTGCAGTTGTGCAAAAACATGAATTATACTAATGAGGAACTCTGGTGGACAAACTTTGTAGACCATATCTGATTGCTGGGTCACTAAGGTTCACATTTCTAGCAAATATTTTAAAGCCAAACATCATTACTGTTTGTCAAAACAATATACTGTGCATAATTTATATTAAATTATAGAGTGTCTGGTATGAAGTATTGGGATAAATTAAATCACACAAAAGCAATCTTACTTTGCCAGTCTACCAATTAGGGCTAAAGTACTATGTGCTTCCCCATAGTTCACTCATTTTGTAAATATGATTGTGTTTGTTTCTCAGTGTGACTCACTCGCTGGTCCTCTGGACTCATTGCCGTCTCACTCTTGTCCTTCTTACTGGGTGGATCGTCATCACAGTTGTATTCCATCTCTGGATTTGTGAGACTTCTGCAGAAGGTGCACATCCAATCTCCACTGCAGCAGAATGAAGGTATAACATCATTTAACACACACAAATCACACAAAAAGGAATTAAAGCCTTAAAACATTCATGCATGTTTGTTTTTACCCTGAAGTCCATTTATTAATATTAGTCCAAGTTTCTAACCATAACTCATTTTCCAACCTCTCTCTGACCTAAAAGCTGTTACGCTACTGAACTTTTATGACCACAATATGTAAATGACCTCTCTGTTATGACTGGCTAAACAAATTGGTCAGTTATTTATCTCTCTGCTCATTTTGTTTGCCTGAGTTAAGTATTAGTGCATGGTCTAACAAGCTGTGCAAAAAAATTTTGAATAATTAACAACATAATAATTTAACATTGATATTATACCACCGTGCCCTTTTAGACCCAACAATTCCCGGTGGGCGCAGTGGTATAATATCAATGCATTCTCTATTCAATCTACTTGTTTTCTTTTTATTTATTATAAAAAATGCCTCTAACACTAGCGCTCTCTATTCTTTTACTATTCTTTCAACTTATTATGAAAAAACCTTGCTACGTGTATTGCATTAGACTATTAGAGTGACTGAGACTTGTCACAGCACTTACATATTATTGCTCTTTTGTTAGTTTTGATTGCTTCTATTGTCCTCATTTGTAAGTCACTTTGGATAAAAGTGTCTGCTAAATGACATGTAAATGAAAATATAAATGTAAGGCTATGCTAGCTTCATTGGCACTGTAAATGCTTGCTCAGTGCCCTTGGTTTCATTTAACCATATGTACCAACTTGATGGCTAAAGCCTGGTTCAGGCTACACGATTTTGCCATGATTTGCTTGACGTAGGGTGTCGTGGGGATTCGTAAACGACAATGGGCATCGGGACGCAAGATTCCATCATTTCAGCACGTGTAGTGTGTCATAGTGGACGACAACCGATTCCGGGTCTGCAATGCTTCACGACAGAAAGACTAGCATGTTTAATTTTTTTTCCGTCATCCACAACGAGTTCTGTCACATTGGTGACGTTGACCAATAGCAGCACAGAAGCTCTTTCATACACAGGTTTCAAACATGGCAAAACGAAAGAGAGATGATGGTGCTGCTAGGTGGAATTATGAGATGGAGGAAAGGTTCGTGGAGCTGTGGCAACAGTACTCCTGCCTGTATGATGTGTCATTGAGGGACTACCACGACAGAACGAAGAAAGAAAAATGCTGCCTAACTATAGCGGCAGCGCTTCAGCAATGTTTACACTCTTGTTTTCAGAAGTCAGTCGCTAGTTCCGCCTTCTCGATGACATCACGCGCGTCGTTAAAGACGGCACGCGATGATTGGTCGGGAAGCAACGTGTAGTCTGACATGTTTCTTGTCCACGACACGACAAGATTTTAGGAGTCAAAATCGTGTAATCTGACACTGACTATCGTGACCGACAAAAATATTGTGTAGTTTGAATCCGGCATAAGACAGATGACGTGTCATGAAATGCTATTGGTTGAATCTTAGAAAACTATGACAATTTGTCACTGGTGTTACAAATAAAAATAAAATAAAATTAGTAATTTATGAATAGAAATGCTATCGGTGGCATGAAATTTTTAAAATAAAATAAAAGAATATTCTATTGATGGCATCTTAAAAATCTAATAATAATAAAAATAAATTTTAAACAAATAAAAAAGGTAAACTGAATATATAAATGAATAAATAATAGAATAATTTAAGAAATAAAATTAATAAAATTCTACAGATGGCATCTTAATAAAAATAAAAATAAAATAAAAAATCCAATACTAGTCAGTTATGATTAGTAAACGATGTAAATAAATACAATCAGCTTTAATGGGAATTTCCTACATTTAGATAATGAATAGCAAATGATCTGCGGTTAACCAAAGTGACAGACAACTAGGATTAAGTGTCGTACTCAAGCACACATTGCTAATAGTTCACCGATTGCAACTTGTTGGGTTGAAGCCCATAACCTTTCAGTTACCAGCCCAGATGTACTACACAAAAACAGCATTAATGCTGAATTAAATGTGTTGCATCATCTGTATAAATAAAGCCACATTCTTTACCTGGGAGAAGATTTGAGTGTTGGGATATGGCAGGTCATGTGGAAGACTTTAGGACAGCGATCACAGCACAGCAGTTCTCCTCCATTCTGACACACGCCACACCAGTCCTCGTTCGGGTCGTCTTCCTTTCCTACAGTGGTCTGGCTGTTGGCGTTAGCGGTGCTCCCCTGCTGACTACCATTTGACGCTGTGGTCCCATTGGTTAGAGATGCGCTGGAGTTTGACTTCGTACAGGATGAGCGTGGATTGCTCTGTGGTTCAGATTTAACATTTTCACCAAGTGTTCTTAAAATGTCCTGGACTGAACCGGTGGACACGGAGCCAAGGATGGGAAGAGGGGGAGTTAGGCTTCCTTCTGGGCTGCTCATCTGGTTTGAGGAAGAAGAAGAGCAACAGAAATACATTGTATAACATGAAACAAACTGTATCTCTTAGAACCAAGAAGAAACAAATTAAACTTGTTATTCATAATCGAAAGAAACTGTAAGCTGAAGATAAATACCATGCAAGCACTCCGTCTGCCATCTTTACAGTGCTCTGTTTTGACGTTTGCTCCAGAATAGCTACATTCTTCCTCAACTCCCGGTTCCTGTTTGACCTTCACCTGGTCCACTGCCGTGTTCCCCATCCCAGGTCTACAAGCTGACCCACAACTGAACCCACACACATCAGCAAAGACAGAAGACACAAATAACAATTTTTCATTCAATGTCTCTTTTTTCAGATATACAGTTCCTAAGCTATAATTAACAACTGCTGATATTACTGCAAGTAATATTACTCAAAGAACAGAAACAAGATTTTTTTTTTTTTTTATGCAAATGCTGACCTGCCCCTGCTGCCCGTGCTTGACGTGCTGGATGGACGAGCTGGAGTGTGAGAATTAGATAAACCTAGAGAAGAAGAGATACAGAGAGAGTGTTAAAAGAATCAATTCTTTAGAAAATTAACAAGTTAGCAAATATTGCTATAGCTGAGGGGGGGAAAAAACAATCTAACCAGTCTAAGTTTTAATAATGCATATTTCTGTCAATTTCCAAGAGGTACAAAATTAATCAGAATTTTGTAAAATCGCTAAATTATCAACGTAATATATGCCGATGGTTATAGCTGACAAATTCTGGATGTTAATTAAGTGACATAAGAAACTGCATTTAACAAACTAGTATTCACTTTGAATCATATAAATCATTTACAAATGTATGATTTAATTTAAGGCTTTGTTAAAAAAAAAAAAAAAAAAAAAATTCACTAGGTAGAATGATATGAATAATATTTTAAATATTAAAAAAAAAAATTAAACAATGGCTGATTTAATTTGGAGAAGCTATAAAATATTGCACGTTATCACCCTATATTCACTTAGAATTTCCTTATTTGAAAGTAAAGTGCACAACAGTGTTAATATTATTTATATAACAGTATTAACGGTATTTATTCATATTTTAAATTTGCTTTTGCTTTCCGTTTTCATTTTACTTTTACAAATTTTGTTGCGCTTGTCTTATTTTTATTTTTATACATTTTTTTGCATCTTTTTTAGCAGTTTTAGTATTTTTAGTACTTCAACTTATTTCAGATAGCGGCTTAGGCAACATTTCTAACTTTTAATGTTTTTCATCCATTAATTGTTTTTTTATTTCAATTGCCAAAAATTGTTTTTTGATAGTTTTAGTTATCGTAACAATGGGGCACAGCAATGCATGTATATGCTAGCTGGAGTTGTTGGTGGAATTGGCACATAAGGCTGTGTGGTGAAGTAGCATATGGCATTAATAATGCTCGTGGGGCTAATGCAGCCTGAGCCCCAGGGTTGGTGCATATGGTTGGATGGGAGAATTTGCCATACGGAACCAGAGGCACTGAGCCAGGCAACTAGCATTGCCTTGGCCCCCCAGGTTGGTTGGATAGGAGTTTATGCCATATAGTACAGAGAGCAAGATAAGTATGGCATATATTAAGCATTTATAAAGATTATACATACCAAATTCTGATGTGCATGAATATTTCATGACATTATTTAAATGCATGCTAATTTACACAAACATTTGGAATCCAAACTATTCATGTTAAAAATTCACCCAGAAAGTACCTGACGATCCTGGGGAATGTGTAGAAGGTCCCGGTGAGGGATTGGTGGGGCCAACAGCAGGATATGAACTAGCAGAAATATATCGACTGAGAATGTTATCCAGTGTGCTCGAACCGGCATCTTCAAGCTGAAAATTACAAAAACAAAAAACACATGAGCTCTAAATCAATTCAGCTGTGTTTTATTTTACTTCGGTTAAGGAAGCATCTGTTATATAAAAAACAATAATAACAGATCCAAGCATAGGGATTGTCTTTGTCTTGTTGCCTTAGGTGCCTTAAACCTAATTATATTTAAAACCTTTATTGCATTTAGGCCCAACAGTTATTACATTTAAATGCTTTATTACATTTAAGCCCAAACGTTATTACATTTAGGTCCTTTATTAAATTTCCACCCGAGTATTAGATTTGAATCCTCATGATCGCACTTTGGTTTGAACTTACAACCTTTAGGTTACCAGGCCAGATCTATAACCACTAAATCATTCCACAACATCCAATCATCTGACAATCAGTCTAAGGAAATGCAATAGTACATTACCTGAATGGGAGGGATGTCCGGCAGGCAAGGCAGGTTTTCGGGGTTGGTGACTGATGGTATGAGCTCTATGGGGGCGACAACAGGACTAGTGGGGCCACGGTGAATGTAGGCATTGGCCATACTGGCACTGGTGGGACTGGTGGGGTTGGCAGCACTAATGTTGTGTAGCGACGCCACAGGGAAGGGCCCAGCATGCCCAGGATTAGAGTGCTATGAGTGGAAAAAAGGGAAAGGTGTTGGAAAATGGCAAAAATTATTTCATACAGCAGGTACATTTACTTTTTTCTGAATGTGGAATGTGTTGTTGTTTATATTAGTCCTGTGTAAAAGACAAGACAATTTACTAATTTTTCTCAAACAAAAATAAAGAAAACAACATCTGAAAACCCTAAGCCTCTATATTAAAGACACTGAATAGCCGCGTTTCCACTGTCGGGCCAAAACCGGGCGTGCTAGTGCGTGCCAGGGCCAGTCGCGTTTCCACTGTCACTTCCGGGGCTTGATCGTGCCTCGTCGGTGCTTCCTCGGGGTCAACAGCCAGGGTTTTTTGGCCCGACGAAAACCTTGGGCCAAAGCGGACCAGCTGGGGCTAGAGGAGTGGTCATGAACAAAGGCGGAGTTTCTCCGCGTCTGGAGAGCGTCAGCGCCGTAGATCATTTCATAAAGTTAACAGCTATAACACCAGCATTAAAGACTTTAAAAATAATTTTAGTTCAAAACTCACTTTCAGACAGCAGCGAGCGCTTGAAATAACTTGATCCGATGTGGATTATGATCACCATACAAGGCAGACATATTTATAAGCGATGCAAAAGACTATGCACACTAGCCATTAATGTTACCATAGTAAACATGGTAAATACGACCACTTGAAGAAATCAGATGTCAGCTTCTTATTTAGTAGCATATTTTAATCTGTCATAAGTCTCGTCTCGAGAGTTTAGCTCCACAGATGTCATAAAAATATAATAATGGTTTTTGTTCGGGAGCTTTTATAAAAATATAGAAATGTTAATTCTTTCTAAATGTGATGTATATATTGTGACTACAAATAAAAAGAAACAGACTCAACTGAATAAGTAGGTAGGCTATGTTCATACTGCTTTATTTCTGTGTGACTAATTTTCAATTCTGATAAATTAATTCATTATGATCAATGCATCACTTATTATTGTAAAACATCGATGCTTTTGGATTTAAATCTTTAACAAAGCATGCAGACAAACGGCTGCTTTTATCATGTTTGTTTTGTGATCGCGCTAGTTCCAGTGACTTATTTCTTATTAGTTTTCTGATAACTTCTCTGATATTTCTCTTTCATGTTGGTGAAATGATAGGGTTGCGTGACGTTGTTCCTGAGAGGCGTGTAAAGGGTGGGTTTTAGTGAAGCTTAGCGGAGCTTCTGGCCCAACGGTGGAAACGCAGCGTGATTTTAGCCTCGGTGCTACAGGTCCGAGGCTATTAGCCCCACCCGGCCAGTTTAAAGCACTGGCTCGCACTGGCCCGTCAGTGGAAAACGGCTAATGTCTTTATAAATATTATTAGAGTATGAATAAGAATGTTAAGCAGCGCTAAGAAATTGCTCACTACTTACTCAAATAATGACACAGTATGTGTTAAAACTGGCTGCTTAAAGTATTAAACAACATACATTTTTATTTACTGGTTTAATAAATAATCTGAAATGTTTATTTTATTAATTATATTAATAGGTATTTATTAGTAGGTATTTATATTAATACCTATTTATTTTAACAATACATTTTACATTAATTTAAACTAAAAATATTTCCGATTAAATAAAACTATTTAAAATATAGAAATATTAATAAGAATATATAAAAACACATTTTCATATATGAGATTAATATCAGCATCACTGTCCCATATAATTATTACATTATTGTTATATAGATTCTACATACAGGCAAACTGTCATTTAATATGCAGCAAATATTTAAAAGTTAACACTGTTCATATTTTAACACTATTCATATTTTTACGTTTCCAATCCTGGGCTTTATGTCATGTGACCTATAGGAGCCAAAGTCACATGCTTTGTTGGTGTCAATAACAGAAATGCTCACTCTCCTTAATCATAATAATTGCTTAATTAAAAAAATATATATATAGTAGTAAACCATAAATAAATTATTTGTTTCAGACATAATAAAATTAGGGTTGCAACGAGGCAGAAAATTTTCGGTAAATGTCAGAAACTTTTTTCCAAAAAACATTTTTTGTATATATATATATATATTTCTAAATCGATCAAAATCATCCAAGGAAAAGAGAGACATCTTAAAATGTTGTTTTTTATCATATGACCTGCTAGAGTCTCTGCACTGACCTGTCTCTGTAATTGAGACTGCATCATAGGATATGGTTGCCCGTTGAGTCGGGGCTGCACTGAAGGCATGCGGTTCTGCACTGATACCATGCGCATGTGATGAGGTGGATACATGTGGGAGGAGCCATTGACCCCACCCCTCTGGAGGGCCTGCATACTAATGAGCCTTGGTGGCTGAAAAGCGAGACAGAGCAAGAAATGACAACCGGGCCCTTAGAACAACAAATCATACAATCAGGAATAAACACGTCGGATGACTATAATTTCAAAATCAGAATAAACTAAATATAATTTTGCTGACATCCATTCTGAACAAATCGAAAAGTTATTTCAAAATTAAAACTCCCTTTTAGGAAGAAAGAGATATAACACTAAAAGAATGTAGTGTTTAACAATGTTCATCTGACAAATATGAAGCTTAACCAGAAAGACCTTAATGGTCATCAACTTTCACCGAAAAACAGAGCTGGTCAACCAGGTTTTCCAGCTTTACAAGCTTTCCTAGTTAAACAGCACATCTATACTGGTCCAGAATAAACCAGACGTGTGGAAAAGTAAGAAAGATCTAATCTCTAACTTACCGGTTGCTGTATACTGGTTATCTGTGGTGGACCTCCTTGTCTGGGATGCTGGGACATCTGTGAGACGATGCGCATCTGCTGCTGCTGTTGTTGGTGCTGCTGCTGCTGCTGTTGTTGGTGCTGCTGCTGCTGCTGCTGCTGTTGGTGCTGGTGCTTCTGAGCGATTGCAGCCTGCTGCATGTGCTGCAACCTCAGCTGGGCCAGGTTGATCTGTCCTGAGTGCTTACCTGGGTGATTGTGACTGGGAGAGATCTGCTGATTGACCATCATTTGGGGAGGAGGAGCAGTATGTGGCACTTTTTCAATAACCAGATTGCCTGGACAAAAAAAGGAGAGAATGCACCTGAAAGCATATAAATGCCTGTTCACACCAAGTCTGAATTCACACCATGCTCTGAAAAAGTAAAAAAATTAAATAAAATAATGTATTATGATAGTTCGGGGGGGAAAAAAGTTTAATTTTATAATATCAAATAAAACAAAAATGATGCAGTATGATATTCCTATACTATTAATAATAAATGTTTATTAAAACAAATTGTAAATAAAAATACAATAATATGATATTTCACACCTAAATGTTTAATTTTAATATATATATATAAACAAAACGCAATACACTAAAATCGGCCGCAGTAATTTAAAAAACTTAATTTTTTTTTTAAAAACTGTAAAATTATATATTTCAGACACAATGTTACATTTTTAAATGTATTCATGAAAATGTAAACTTGGTGTAAAAGGGCTTTTGCTCTGTGTGTGCTATAAAAACAGGTTTCAGCTGCAAGTTTAGTTAGTGTTGAGTCAGTACCAAGGTTAACCACATTCTTGGCCCAGAAGGTGGGGTCGCAGAAGAAGCGGACTGCTCCATTACTTTGAGGTACTGGGTCCACACGGGCCTTCATAATGAAATGCAGCTGGTATGTGATCTACAGTGTTGACAAAATCCCAAAAAAAAGCAAATGAGGAAAGACACAAAGTACAGAAGAGTCTACAATAGCAATGCTGTTTGTCATTTAAGTAACTGATGTCAGCAAGGTCCAGATCCTGATTAAACAACATCCTTTAAAATGAAGGAAGTAGTTATGTTTGAAATAGTGTAAGTGGCATCTCCAAAGACAGTACTGTTATTGATGGAAGGTGTAGTGCCAATACAAATGACATATTTGCAAAAACAGAACCTAAAAGAAAAGTAAATAGGTGTTTTTGTAAAAGAAATAAGGCTGACCAGTCTCTTGCTGTAGAGCAGGGCTGTGCTGCTTCCATTGCTGATGGCCCAGTTGGTGAAGTTGAGCACATGGATGATCTGCTGGGCCAGGCAGCTGATGTCCCTCTGTTGGCTGAGCAGCTTCACACTCCTCTCTTTGGTCACACTCTTTACACGGTGATTGAGGGAATGATAAGGGAAGAGAAGAATATTATGAATGACTGAAATTAAACAAATTCTGGGCCTCAAAATGATGAACTTTCTAATGCCAAACTAGGAACCATTAACATCAGATGCAGAGAGGCAGGATAATTGTGATCCAGAACAAATTGTGAAATTGTGTTTCCAGAACAACAAAAACTAGACTTGTGGTTTGTGCACAACAAAACACTAAGATAACACTTAACTTAAACACTAGATAAAAAAAACTAAATCACCAGTGTTATTTTAGTATTATTTTTTATTAAAGTATTTAGAATTGGCTTTTATTTATATATTATGTTTTCATTTTCATTTTAGTTTAAGTTTTAGCAATTCTGTTATGCACTTTGGTCATTTTATTAGATTTTGTTTTAATTCATTCCTTTTAGCTTTAATTTGTTTTTAATTTCAGTTTTTGCTTTGGTAATTGTATAACTTATTTTCAGTTAGTCCCAAAGCACGTTTTCACATTTTTTATACACCTTCTTTTTTTTTTAATTTGTCATATAATATTTATATTGTTACAGCTTAATTTTGTTTAATGAAAATCATTTTTAAAAGTTTTACTTTCCAACAAGATCACTGGTTTACACTGAAAAGTACAATGTGGTAATGTGACACACATTCAGATGTCACACATTCCATGTATGTCACACGGCACACTTTATACTCCATCCATCCAAAACAAAATCTAAAAATTGAGAATTGAGAATTTTATTCATTGTAACACCACCTCAGGCCATCAAAGCAGTAAAGTAGTCCGTTATGAGATGAGAACAGTGAAGACTCACTGAAAATGTAACATCAAACACTGTGACATCTGCAGGGCTTGATTCATCACAGACTGGTGTGAATTGGAGTAAAAGGTGTTGAAGGGGTCTAATAAGCAGCACTTCCCTTTTCAGCCATCCGCTTGCTGTATTTTCACATTTGGCCTCTCTCAAACCATCTATCTTCAGTGTCCAAACTCTTCCTTGAACATGACATTCTTGTCCTTCAGATGTCGATACATTATTGTATCGTGCCCAGAGGGGTTCATACTTCTGTCTTGCCTCATCCATTTCTAAACTCAAGTAATTTTGTTCATACCCTAACAGTTTTGCTCCAATTCACACCATCAGTTAAAGATTCCTCCACAACAGTTTGCAAGATCTATAGCATGTGATAAGATTCACACAAGGTGGTTGCGGGAAAAACACAATGACTTTGTTTGCACTAGGTATTAACATGCATCCTAGGTGATCCAATCACAAATGGTCAGCTGAGATAAAACACTGTTTACATCTAGAATTACCATGTAGCTCCAATGTATCACCTGCGACCACTCAGGATCAGATTTCATCTCTTAATACATGCATCATTTACTGCACCATGTGTGTTACCGCATGTTAAATATGCATTAACCACAAACATGACATCCTGAAAGCTTGTTATTTTTAGTGTTATTTTTTTACATTTGCATCACATGATCTACATTTATTAATTTAGCAGACGCCTTCATCTAAATTGAATTATCTGTGCCTCTGCATAAACGGCTTTTCAATTTTTCTCTTTTAAATACACAGTTTTCTTTAAAGTTGTAATGGCTCCCCAGTTTAAATCCCTTGTTTTGTTGTAAAGGTTGATTGACTGGTCTGTAAGCGGTCTTTGTCGTTTGATCCAGTTTACACATACATATATATATATACAGGTGCATCTCAATAGATTAGAATGTCGTGGAAAAGTTCATTTATTTCAGTAATTCAACTCAAATTGCGAAACTCGTGTATTAAATAAATTCAATGCACACAGATTGAAGTAGTTTAAGTCTTTGGTTCTTTTAATTGAGATGATTTTTCTCGACATACTCTTTTATTTAGATGCATATGTATATATATATATATATATATATATATATATATATATATATATATATATAGATAGATAGATAGATAGATAGATATAGGGCTGGGCGATAATTCGATAACAATAATTATCGCAATATAATTTTCCTCGATAAACCGATATGAAGAGTTCGATAAATGTTCGATATAATGTTTATGCGCCAAAAGCGGAACGAAACAGCGCGACTCATTTGAATAGTGCCACACGGACCGTTTATCTGCTCGGATCAAAGTTCAAACTGCCGCGAGCTCACTAGAGCAGATGCGTTTACTCGGTCATGTGAGCACTAAATAGCGCTGTGAGATCCAGTGTGAAGTGTGAATAGAGCGATGAACACAAATGACTCTGTGATTTAAACTAGTTTAAAGCCAAACAGGAAAAACACTGTGTGCAACGAGACAGTCAGAAGGCTTTTCAATCTACACGTCGCTATCATTTACCATGGATTTACTGTAGTAACACTCACTGTTTGACTGTATGGTATGCCACATGCACTGTAATATATTATATATTAAATATAAATTTTTCAAATGAAAATAGCAACATGATCGTTTTATAAAGTATGCGTTCATATGTGTTGAGGGCTAGATTTTCGCTGGAGGAAACAGCTGTGTTGTGATGAGAGGTGAACGCAGCGAAAATTTTACAGTAACGTTAGATGGGGAACTGATTGCTCCCTCGTGACCTTTTGTAAATTGTATGTATGACAAAGAACTGCACAGATACAGATATTATAACAATCTATCGATAAACACCGTTTCTGTTTGAGTCCGCTCGCGCTGCGCCACCGCGGTCTGCGGATTGAACCAGGTGAGAACCAGGACAAATATTTCAATCGATCGCTCAGGCATTTAAGTGGCACCGAAATGAGGCACCAAAATCTGCGTTCTGATTCGGTTCTAGTACATACCGGTTACATAGGTACTGGTGCCATATTGGCACCGGGTTTCGGTACCCAACCCTACACACACATGTTAATCCCTCTATCAATAAGTGCATTTCCATTACAGATTTGCTAATAAATTATAAAATGTCAATGTCAAATATTGCGAAATGACAGCGTTTCCATTAACCGATGTTATGCGACTAAAACATTATTTTTTTCCTCTTGACAACCGATGTTTTTATATATCGCAGCAACCACACTAGCCATTATTTTTAATCGAAGGAGACGTAGATGTGTATCTTTAGCAAAGCAGCGTGGAGAGCTGCTTCTGGGGCGCTTCTGAAACGTGTCACAACATGGCTGTATAAACACAAGCACTTAGAGTGGCCGCGATCAGCTCCGGCGGCTGTGTCGGAGCCGTAATGCGCTGCAGATGTGTGCTGTGTAAATAAGGGGTTATTCAAGTATTAATAGCAAGGAAAGATCCTTATACTTGTGAGTGGCCATGTATGAGGTGTTTCTTGGAGGTTATAGTACATTGAAGAATGATCATGTGAATTTTACGTACACAAGTAAGCTGTAAACGCAGAAAAAACTGTTTCCATTGGAGTTTTGCAAAATATTCCTTTTTTGAATTGGTTGAAAAACCACCTCATACGAGTTTCAATTGGACGCATTTTCAATTTGCAATTTCATTGTGCGCAATTTAAAAGGTAATGGATACGCAGCTAATGATGCTTTGTTTGTTATGTCTTAGCTGTCCGTGAAATCTTCTTTTAACTGGAATGTCAGACTTGTTGCCTTTGGAAATCAAGCATTTTTTGATGCCTGTGTTCTTACCTCCAACTGCTGCAGTAGAGATTTGCCTTTCTTGTTGATTTCATTGATGAGAGTAAAGACTGCTATTTTTATCTCATGTTCAACCTTCTTATGCGTCTCAGAAACTTCTTTAAATCTAAAGGGGAAAAAGGGAACAAAATACATCAATTTTTTTCCATTATTTACTCATAAAAAGTGCATAAAACACAATCATTCAATCATGTCCAGGCACTTTTCTTTAATAGAAAAAGCAAGATCTATAAAATTTCATCAGATAAAACTGATGGTAAATATGCAACAGAAGTCCTACCTGTTTTGCACCTGAGATACAGAAAACTCCACAAAGTTTCTTTTGTCTTGCAACTTAGTCATGAAGGCCTCAATGATGCCCTTCTGGTTTTGAAAGGCTTCTTCTAGAAACTGGTACCTACAAAAAAGAGGTGGTGGAGGTGAAGATTATCTTATATAGTGCGTGTATTCAGACTTTTCTGGAGCTATAAACTGTTGTCTGCAAGACTGAAATTATTTTTTATTTCTGGATGATCTATTCCTTTAATACCATGCTTTTGTTCTAGGTCGCTCTTCATTTAATTTTCTTGCTCAAAAACGCTTTCATACAGTGCCAGATGATTTAATACAGATGAAGATTATCATTATGAAGATGATGATGGTGTGTGGTTACTGTAAACACTGTGGTCCAGCTGACCTGTGTTCTTTGTGTTCAAGTAGCTGGCAGTCTCTGCAGGTTAGAGTGTCACATGTCTCGCAGAAGAGCTTGAGGGCCTCTTGTTTGTGTACCGGACAGAAGACAGGTCTCTGGCCTGACGTCCCAACCGATTCTGCAACACAGAACCACCTAAGTCAAATTCATCTTTTCCTGCTTATTTCATCCACCTACCCTCTATTCTCCCAGTCTATGACTGCCATATGTTCTCATATGCCCCTTGCCAAACGCAATCAAAATGAGGGAAACTAAGTGGGTTAGCTTTAATGAAAACAGTACAGGCTGAGCAAGCGACTCACTCAAAACTCTGCCTGTTTCCATAGCAACTGTACTACGATTCAGTCTGCTAAATGTGCAAAACAGATACTCCATAGCGTTGCTGAAAAATCCAAACAACAACAAGACCACTAGACCCAAGCTGAATGTTTTAGCGTAATGAAAACCATCATATCGCAATTGAACATGCAAATTAATTAGCTCATAGCACATACCAGAAGATACTTCCTCTTTTTTGCGTATTTTATGGTCTTTAGTGAATTTGACCCGCTGATGTGCTTCAATGCAGGTTTTACAGAGCCACTCCCCACATTCAACGCAGAATCCAATGGCACTGGCATTATCTTCACAGCTGGTGCAAACCTGTTACAGAGCAAATAAATGATGACATCTCTTAAAATAATGACCAGAGGACTGATTTATTGACTTAAAACTCAAAAATTGATGAACAATAGCATGTAAGCTAATAAAGCAAAGTTTAATCCACGGGTGTGAATACCAATTGATTCATTGGTTTTCAATTCGTTTTAAAAGCAATTTTAGTTAAATTTCAACAAAATTACTTTCTAAAATACATTTATGGTATATTTGCTTTAATTGCAATTTTAAATAAATTTGACTAACGCAATTTTTTTTTATTTAAAAGCCATTTCAGGACTAATGTCAAGATGTTTTAACAGATGCCGTAGTTACACTCTACTAAAATCAATATCACAGGGCTGGTACTGACCTGTGTAGAGTTCTCCACTGATGTGCTTGTGGCCTCTGAAGTGTCCTTGACAAAGTAATTGTCCACTATGTCAATCTGTTTGTACTCCTGATGACACACCGTGCAACGCATGACGTTCACTGCACAAAAACATGAAAAAGGAACAAAGAAAAACAACAAAGTTAGAAAAGTCTGGAAACAAACAGAAGAGTGCTTCAACCTTGTATACTATATAGGAGAGTCATGCAACTATTTTTAAACAGTCCTCATTTTAATCCCTAGACAAAAACTGATATTACAGGAAAACAAAGTAAAAAAAAAAAAAAGATGAAAATTAAATTAAATTAACAATGGCTTTATATATTTAAATAGTGGGTTGTCTGAATGACTAGTTGACTTTTCAATGTTCAGGAGGTCCTGGTTTCATGTTCACCTGACCCCAGGTCAGATACGTTTATTTAAGACACATTCTGGCATTTGTAAACAACTAAACAGAGAGCAACAGAATGAAACTACTTGGACTAGTAGAGTAGCTGACCATCAAGACACATCTCTAATTGCTACGGAAAAGCTTTTACAACTAGAAAAAAAAATCGTGACGAAAGTATTTAACAACAACAAGAAAGAAAGAAAAAAAAAAAGATCTGCAGTGGTGATCAGGAATGTGATTAGACTGACCAATCAACAAATAAACTGGTGACTTCGTTCTGGCACGGTGTATGAACTTTTTTTTAACAACCTAAAAGATACAAATTCATAGGCTTCAAGAGGTTTTTCTCTAATGAATACACACGCACTCATAAACCTTCCTATAGGGAACGTTGAATTTTTTACTGAGAGTGCATAAGACATACACAGTAAATTAGTAATGCAGACTTCTTATGCATATAAGATATAAGACTATATTGATTTATCAATAATTCATAAGATTTTATTACCCATTATTGCCATCCGCTGCAATAACTAAGAATCAGCTCTTTGTGTGCGTCTTGCAGCAGCATTTCACCACAAATAATGATCTATTCATAAAACTAATTTAATTTTATCCTAATTTAATTTGAAAACATAGTGAGTGATTGGACACGCCCCTCCCCCATCCATCACATGCAACGCCCCCACCTCTTTTCCCTGACAGCCCATCAATCCCCCCACAAAGCTACAGCTAGAGCCAGTCCAAACCGGTTTGAGCCAGTTTGCGCTGGCTCATACTGCTTTCAGCCAGTTTGCCCTAAGCACCCAGCTGCAAAACCCCACTGATGATTGACTGGTGAGAGCAGCTGGAGACACACTGCACTGAAACACTGAGTTACTCTGTACTGATATTAACTGGAGGCAGTGATGCATTGCCTGAGGCACATCTATTCATATGCAGAGCCCTGGAATGCAATCAAATTGCCTTATTATTCAAAGCTAAGGGTTATGCACCACTCTCTTTAATACTATGATACACTTAAATTATATTTGAGATCAAAATGGGTGATTGTTAGATTTTAAATTTTTAAGTTTATAACACAACTGATTTGTTAAGATTCAATCTAGCAACATTCACAACATTCATATGATAGTACTAACATACTAGAGCACATTATGGAAATTTTGGCTAGTTGTGAGCTGTTAAATTTCATAAACGTGGTATATTGACAAAAATGGGTTGCTGGTGTTTACATTTTTTAGAAGGATTTATTTGCTCTGGACACCAAGGAAAAACTCCATGAAGTGTCTGAAAGCAAAGCAAACAGAGCAGACGGCTACAGTCAAGCTGAGAATAACAGTGTAGTTGGGCAACATGCTTAAGTACAACAAAGTGCTTGTTGAGATTCTACATGCAGCAAAGTGTGTGTCACGCAGTTTTCTCAGTCAGTTACTGTGATGAGTCACGCTGGTAAACTCTGAGTTACCTCCTCCTGAACTTTAATTAAACGTCTACGACAAGACCAAAACAAACCTGGCAAGAGAACGAACCCTTCAATTGCTGATCCAAAAAAATGACGAGTAAACTACCAAATAATGTAGCTCAAGTTTAGGGCATCATTTATACACACAAAAAAAAATTTTGAAAAAGAAAAAAATACTACAGAATGATGACTGTTCTGAAATTCTTAAGCTTCAGAAAATGTTGATCATCCACATTAGACCATCAAATTAAATATTATGAGTTGATATTTTATTTTTCATTTTGCATCCTTATCAACATTTCAGAAATGAACGGTTTAAAACCATGACTTCCTTCAATAAAAAAAATCTAATGTATACAATTAAAAAGCGATGGTAACAGGGTTGCAAAAAAACATGATTGGAGAATAATTCTAAATAACTCTCTATTCTATCTACTTCTTTTCTTTTTATTTAAGAAACAAAATAAAACTTGACCTACTAACACTAGCATTCTCTATGCTTTTTATCATATCTCCTTGTTTTCTTTTTAATTACTGTAATAATAACTTGACCCTCTAACACTAGCTCTTTCTATCTACTTTTTATTTATTAGAAAAATATAAAAAATAAATGTAAATTACATTATCACAAAATGAATTACATACAAATATTTGTTTGATCATTTTCCATACAATAACTTTGTTAACAGGACTGAAAGACTGAGCTTGATGAATTTTTAACAATTTGAATAAAATAAAAAAAGAGCAAAAAAGCCTTGATTATTTACTTGTTTTTGCCTATTAAAATTAGTTAATTAATAGATACAATGGATTGAATATAAATTAAACCGAGTATGTCCCAAATCTGACATTAGTTATGTTTCCATCCAAAGATTCGAATTTAACTTGTGCAAAATTGGAATATCGCATAAAACAATTGCGAATAAAGTACACTCTAAAAAAGAATTCAGTGGATCTGTTGCCACTACTTAATTTAATGCATTAGTGCAAGTTAAAAATTCAAATGTATTGATTTAATTAAACATTTTAAGTTTTAAAAAATTTTAATGAGTTGTCCTGATATCTTAATGTTGATAATGACATCAACGTAATACTGTGTGTAACTTCAACTTAAATATCTGTGTTAGTTTGTTTAAAACATTATTTAAGTTGTACTAACTTAATGTAATTAGCTCCATAACTTCATTTTTTCAAGTTCACGTTTCAGGTTCCCAGCATGCTTTGTATGTGACTGAATAATGAGCGGTAATGTAGAAATAAACTCATATTTTATGCATTTCTATTCAAGATCAGAACAGGAGAAGATTCATTAATGTTCAGTTATATTAGTATTTAAAAGTGTTTCTGTTATGTTGGTGGTTTTTATGAGATTACCATTGTGCTGAAGAGTAGAGCGTTTGCTTAGGTTGAGAACAGACTCACTGGACATTGTCTGACATGCTGTTTCAATCAGAAGGCATTTGGTTGAAAATGCTAAAAGATTGGTTTCCTGGCAGCATTAAGTGTCGTTTCATCAAAAAATAATATTTTAGTAGTTTTTGTAACCAGTGTCCATGATTGAATCAAATTTAAAACAATGTGAAAAAACAACTTAGAACAACTTAATTTTTTATGAGTATTCAACTTAGAAAATTGTGTTAAAACTAGCAATTATTAAGTATATATAGCACAATATAGTGTATTAGTTGAAATTAATTTCAGAAGAAGTTGCCTTAACTCAAAAAAATTGATGCAAACTGTTGCGTAAATTTTTTTTGTGGTGTCCAAACAATATTTTTTAGAGTGTACTGTTTCCATCCAGTGAGTCAAAGAGAACAATCGTCACTTCCTGATAAATTGGCACTACGTATCACCAAGAAAAGTAGGAGAAGCCACTTAATATAATAATTTTCATATGATAAATTACTTGCGCCTCAGAGCAAGCAGATGAAACTAGAGATGCACCGATCGATCGGCCAGGGATCGGAATCTGCCGATTTTCCTCATGATCGGCCCGGATCGGTGATCGGCCGGTCAGTCTCACTTCTTTCCGATTCTGAGCCGATCCGTTTTGTTACCAGCGGCACAGACAATAACGTCAGCCGCGCATTCTCGCTCTCTTCTCTCTGACGACGCCTTCTCTCTCACACACGTCTCATTCACTTCGGTTAAATAGTGCTTGTATTGCGCATTCTTTTAGTCATTCCCGCAGGTTTCGCGCTAATACCAAACGCGCGCGCGCCATCACTGATCTATATTAGTGGAGTGCACAATCCACACTCAGTCTCGAACAGCTTGTGAGCCACAAATACCAAAATGAGTGGCTAACTGCGCTAAAACAGTCAAATACATCAAAAGTATGTCAAAATGCCCGTCTTGGCGAGTATCCAGTTAAACAGTCAGTTTTGGAACGTTAAATAGTTGAGAAAGAGAACGCATGTTGTGTAACAGTATATTGGGTCCGTGGATAAATTCATTCAAGATGATAAAGACCACTAAATTGGGAATCTTAAGTAAGATAATAGTTTAGGCTATGTCTAATCAATCGCGCTACAAAAAAACCCCCAAAAACATGGGATTCATGTCTGTAATGCATTAAAACTTTAATGTGACACCCAGTGTATCCTATTCAATTAAAGCAAACAAACCTAAAAATACAAAAATATAATTTTTGTACAAATTTGTTTCATACACTCAATTTTAATACTTCCGTTCAGTAGAATGAACTTTTCAATCTGATGCACTGACAAAATATTCTGCATTGTAATGAGCACTGATCTGATATGATCATATTGATCCGACCGCATTCAGTAATAACAGTGAAAAGACTGCTTAGTGAAGTGAAGAGGTTTAAAAATAAATTAAAGTCTTTGGGCTTATAAATATACATCAGTGATCCCATATATGGGTGAATAAACACACAAAAAATGAAAATTGCTTTACATGCAGCGGCTAATACGGAGTTCATCTATTATTAACAACAGTGCACGGCGCTAACTTATTACAAGAAACGCAAGCATAATGAATCATACACTGCACTCAGGAGTCAACAGCAAAGCAAGTGCTTGACCAAAAAGTCAGGCTGATCATTTCATACCTCAGCTGCACCAATAATGACACAATACAGTGATAACGCTCCAACAAGCCACGCTAAAACTAAGCCATGCATCACAAATCGACCACCACAGCATTGCTTCTAGTCTCATTTACAAAGCAAAAAACGCAGCATTTGTGGATGACACAGTGTGTGCATTGTCAAAGAAAACCATTGTGCATGAATGACAACATGAGTTAAGGTCACAGGCCATGACCCCTGCATTATCACATCCTCAGTTACCTTGTGTGTTAACCACATTAGGTGGCTCCTATGGCACAAACATACTGACAGCACCAAATCTGATCATCAGTACACAGACAACGACGTGCCAAAACATCAGGGCCATATGTCTCATAAACTAGACCAGCAACTGTCTGAGATTGTCCATTGAGAAAAGATCAAATCTGATTGCTGCATAAAAAAACCCTATCACTCAGATTGACACCCGTCACATCATTTGACTGACCGTGCACGAGGCTGCAACATCATTGCATCCAATTTAAATCAAACTAATCAACTTTAGACAAGGCTGACTATTTTGAAAGGTTAGTTAATCGGACAATCTATCATTAGTATGTAATGGTTGGTTAGTGCAGGGGTTTTCAAACTGCTTGCTGGTGTCAAGTCAATTGAATCTGTATACTGCTTTAAACAATGCACAGCGTTTCAAAGCAAGTTTTAAAGAAAATCATGACATTAACATTTATAACATGCCTTATAGTCACATTTAGCAGATTAGAGCTGGGCGATTATTATAGTTTAGATTGTGTGATGATATAAACAATCAAGCAGTTTAGATTTGCATTGTAGCATATATAGCTTTATGTGTGTACTGCATATATGTGAATAAAGTTGGATATACAAATATTAACGGCAAAAACAATCACATCCAAGATTTCCAAGAGTATATATATTGCTTTATGCAAGCATATATAATTATTGCAACAATATAAATAGTGACAAAGAGTCCATCAGTAGTACATTGCAAGAATGTAAAAAATACAAGGTTTAACCAACAAAGGCCTAATAGATAAATAAATAATGCAAAAAAATTAATTAATTAATAGCTATCTAAGGGTATAGTACTATGGTGAGTATGGGGAAAATAAATTACTTAATAGCAACTAAAAATGTTCCAAATAATATTTTACCACTATTTGCATTAAATAGTATAAATAGCAGAAAATCCTGCTATTTTTACAAAGTGTAAATAACACATCGCTAAGAAAATGCTGCTATTTTCACTTACTGTAAATAGCATCTGTCGCTTTTTGCACTTAGTGTAAACAGAATCCATTGCAAATAGCATCTATTGCTGTAAATATGCTATTTTCACTTACTGTAAACAGCATCTATCGCTATTTACACTTAGTGCAAATAGCCGCTGCCCTTTTCCATAGTATAAATTAGGTCTTTATGCGTAAAAACATATGGCTGCCTTTCAAATTTTAGGATAGGGGTCCTTTGCGCATATTTGGGAGTCGGAGGTATCTAAAAGATTGAAAACAACTGGGTTACAACATCCATAGCCACGCAGAGAATAGTCGGGGGCAGAACTAGAACAGGGGACGGAATAGTTGGGGACAGAATTGGCGAAGCTAACTTCCCTTTTCCTAACTTACCAATACGAGTGTCCTGTCCATGGGGCCCTTGCACCGGGACGGTGATCTTTCGCTCCGGCTGCGGGATGCACTTGAGGCAGAAGGAGTGCAGGCAGGGCAGGAGTTTGGGCTCACAGTCGCGGTTCTGGAGACTCTGTTTACACACAGCGCACGTATCCAGTAGGTTTATCGGGGCGGCAGGGGTTGAAGAGGAGGAGGTCGAGGATGCTGGTGGTGGAGGCGACATCTCGTTAATGAGAGCGGGTGATGCGCCAGCAGCGGTGCTGTCCGCTGAGGAGGAGGAGGAGGACGGCGGCGGCGGTGGCTCGGTGCTCTCGGTATTTGGGGTCCCGTCTGTAGCTCCGCCGCCGCTGCTGGATGTCGTCAGCGCTTGGGGAACGGTCTCTTGAGACTTGAGCTCGTCTGCTCCTTCCTTCGGCTCCGAGTCGATTAAAATCACCGCGTCTGGGTCCTTTGAGCCGCCGTCTCCGTTATCTTCTGTTCCCGAAGTCCCTACCTCCATATTTGCGGAGCTCTCCGCACAATCTTGGCCTTTGTTGTCCGCCATCTTTGCTCCTCTTTGAACCGCGTGACGTTCGACGCGCTCAGAAAACCCGAGGGGCGTGACGTCACGCAGTCGCGCTCATGTTCGTCACAGAGAAATACAGATTTAAAAAAAGAAAAGTAAAACAATAGAACTTATGTTTTTTTTTTAAGTACGTGTATTGTATATTATAAAATAAATGTAACACTATAACGCTGTATTGGACGTTAAATAAATTAATATACGTAAATATATAAATAATTGGAATTGCAATACAATCTTTTTTATCCTTTAAATTTAAATGTAATATTTTAAAGCCACAATTTCTTACAGTCAAGGTCTGCAATTGATCAGACTTTTGTTAATCAAAAGCGTCACACAAACCCATTATAATAAATGCCATACTAATCTTCATCCTTATTAAATTAATTTCTTTTGCGAAAGTAAGCTGTTTGTGGGCGACTAATTGCGTCTTTGACTATTTTTGTGCGTGTTCAAGCTGCACTCATTAATACGTTTTACACATAGATAACTGAATAGTACTTTGGGAAATGTTTATTTGATGATTCACACGAGATAGTCTCCAGTGCAGTTATACCAGTAACCAAATAAACGCTCTTCATGTCGCGGGTCGCCTCGCGGGGGCGGATGTGTTGAGATCACGTGGCTTTTGCTGATGAAAAAAGACGCGTGCGTTTTAAAATCAGCAGAAGGGGTAAAACACACACATGCTTACATGATATGCGCACATTCCTAATGCTAAATAATAAGATCCCATGTTACAAACATATGCAGTAGGATAAACGTTCTTCACAATACAACTTTAGTATCAAAAGTTTACTTCGATTCTGAAGCAGCATGGAATATGAAAATATTGTATAAGTGTGATGGGAAGATGTTGCATTCAAATCGATTTTTAAAAATTCAAGTTAATGAGCAGTGTGCACTCCCACATTTTGGGAGATCAAAGAAAAAGCACCCTATTAAGCAAGATATTTAAAATACCTCAGGACAAACAGGCCACTAATTGCAAGTACCTAACCACTGTGGCATGTAACAATTTAATAGAAACGTTTAAAACTTAAGTTCCTTTGAACTTTACTTTGATCAAAGTTTAACTCACAGCAAACGTTACATGTTCAAGTTAATGCAATATTTTTTTAATCTATACTACTGTACAATACAGGTCCCTATAGCAGTTTCTAGTTTGTTCATGTAGAAGATCAACAGGAATGGCATGAGACAGGAATGAAGTGATTTTAAAAAAGACCAAAAGTGTGCAACTTAGCCTGTGATGTTCTTAGATCATTTATATTTTCCATTTCCAGACACATTGGTGAAGTCTTCACTGAGAAACTGAACAATGCAAGTCATTATTTTACCATTTTATTGTATATATTTTTAAAAAGTATTACAAATAGAGTAGAACATAAAAATTAAGATGAACTAAGTGTCCACCAGGTAATCGTACATAAACACAAAATTGTTATAAATGTCAACACACCCACATTAACTACTTTATGTATACAGTAAACAAATGTGAGTTACTGATTTCCAGAATTGAAATGGACATCTTGTTTATTTTTGGTGCAAAATCATGAACTATACACCAGCTTACCCTCTGTTTGCACTACAACACTATTGCTCATTTGTGTTTTACAAAGACTATTTTCTCTGTTCGTCACAAAAACGGAACAAAACAAGAAACACAACATCACACTTTGGTGATCCTTTGCTTTAGCAAAGTCTGACAGTTTCAAGATGGTCTTAAACCGTTTTCATTATTTAAAAGTCCTGTCGAATATTCTCTTTGTTCTCATCACCCTGTTGCTGTTTCATCTGTGCCACTTCGTTCTCCAGCTGTATGATGGCTCGCTCAATCTCATAGTTCTTACTAACGAGAGACACCCAGCTGTGAAAACATAAGCAGAAGCACTTCCATCAGAGCGGAGTAAACTAATTGAATTTAACTCGAGACAATTTCTGGAAATGGTTTTCATATAGAAACATAATAAAGTACTGACTTTGACTCAAGTTCTCGTAGTTTGGCTCCTCCAGCCAGCTGATCGTTTTTGCGCTGCCAGTTCAGATCCTGTATCTGCTTTCTGAAAGGAGAATAGAAATATTAAGATTAATTTTAAAAGCTAGTTAAATAGTTTGTGCACAACCACAATATCCAACACCCATTTGTAAAGTAAATTACATTGACCAACAAGTCACTCACCTAGCCTTCTGCAGTTCCTTTTGCGCATTTTCAATCATTAAGGCCAAGTTACTGTTTCACAGAGAAGACAACCAATTATGATCAACATAAAATCCACATGTGTCATTAAAGAATTAAATAGCATTTTAATCCTGTAAGCTTTTTAGTCATGACCCCGCAAATGGCATTCACCATTTTCAAAACTGACTTTAACCCCTTTAATAATGTAGTACAAAGTAGGTCCTATATTAAAGGAATAGTTCACCCAAAAATGAAAATTTGCTGAAAATCTACTCATCCTCAGGCCATCCAAGTATGGATGTACATCCAGTGTAAATGAGTTTGTTTCTTTGTGTGAACAGATTTTGAGAAATGTAGCATTACATCACTTGCTCACCAATGGATCCTCTGCAGTGAATGGGTGCCGTCAGAATGAGAGACCGAATAGCTGATAAAAACATCACAATGATCCACAAGTAATCCACACAACTCCAGTCCATCAGTTGACACCTTGTGAAGCGAAAAGCTGCATCTTTGTAAGAAACAAATCCATCAAGACTTTAACTACACACCATTGCTTCCAGCTAAAACATGTGTCCTCTATCTAGGGCTGTCAAACGATTCACATCCAAAATAAGTTTGTTTACATAATATACATGCGTGTGTACTGTGAAAATATATATTTATACACACACACCCCCATGTACATATTTAAGAAAAACGACGTCTGTCATTGCCAACAAAGGGTATATAACAAAGTATTGAGATGAAATTTTGTTATTGACCAAATACTTATTTTCCACCATAATTTGCAAATAAATTCTTTAAAAATCCTACAATGTGCTTTTCTGGATTTTTTTTTCTCATTTTGTCTCTCATAGTTGAGGTATACCTATGATGAAAATTACAGGCCTCTCTCATCTTTTTAAGTGGGAGAACTTGCACAATTGGTGGCTGACTAAATACTTTTTTGCCCCACTGTAAATGTTTATAGCTGCTACTGCTGGAGGTATACTTTTGTGATGTGACTGCTGTAACGGTATTTGGGTTCTTTTTACTTATTTGTAAGAATTTTGTTTTATACAGATATGTGGACCCCAGGAAGACTAGCAGCCACTTTGTGGAAGCTAATATGGATCCAAATAAACAAACAATAGATGTATTGCAATTTAATTTAAACTAGGTTACATTAAGCAGAACACAAGATTAGAGTTGACCACCTGTAACAGAAGTTTAGCTCAATAAACTTACCTCTTCATACTGAGCAGCTCCATGGGTTGACGAGCTGACAGTCTCTCAAATTCATTCCTCATGATCTCGGTCTAATGAGAACAACATAACACCAAGATTATTATGCGAACATGTGGATTCTAGTAAAGTAGTAGCAGAATGGGTATTTTTCTTGTACCTCAAAAGCAGAGAAATCTGGTGTGGGAAGGTAGCTCAAATAGTTCTTGGTTGGTCTGTATCGTCTCGTCTCTTCCTCCACCAAAGCAGCTGCCTAAAATTGATTCGAATATCATTTCTCTTCCGCTAATAAAGATAACTGGAATACAATAGCGTACTTAAAACAGAACCATAAGGCGCTTAAACTGTCTCATTTAAGAACCAGAAGAAGGCGCAGCCGTTAGCTGTCTGCATAGTGACAACACAGGTCAAACATGTATTATTTATCGTGGTTTTAAGAAGACAGAACGTTCAAAAAGACATATTCAGTCTACTTACGGCTTCTCTGACCCCTGGAGCATCATAACCCTGGTCGAAATAAGGCAGAGCATCGACAAAAACATCACCAGCGACTGAAGCCGGTCCTGCCATCTTTTACAAATACACGCTTCACGCTCTGCTTCTAGTATGATTGAATTGAATGAAATACAAACATCAGCGCCCCTTGTGTATCGGAGGAGACGCGCGCGGTTTTCCCGCGGAATCTGGCTGCTTGTAAACTGTTGCATCGTGTTGTTTTTTCCACTCGCGGTTTAAATGTTTGATATATCCTCCTGAGAACCAGAAATAAAAAGCTTTGTGAATTTAGTATTTTTTCATGTCATTACATTGTTTAGAGCATAAGGAAAAAATGGTCAAATAAATTTTTTTTTAATTATATTTCATTCATAAGTTATGCTATGTCCTCTGTAGAGGACACCAGGACTCAGTTTTTCTAAAAAAAAATTAAATGACATGAATAGACATGAAAAGGCAAAAACAATGGGATTTTTAAAAAAATCACCAATAAATTTTTAGGTTTCAGGATTTTTTTATAACTAACTTTGTTCAAGGATGCACTGTAAAAAATGACCGTGAATTTAACGGTAAAACACTGTAAAAATGCTACAGTAAAAACCTGTTAAATGGTTAACGGTAAATTCCCCTACTATATACGGTGAAAAACTGTATTGGACATTACATGTATTGGACATAAATTTTACGGTAGTATACCGTTTTTGGAAGTGAAAAATACCGTATAATTTACAATGAATAACCGTAAATTGACATTCCCAGAATTCCCTGTGTTACTATTATTTCATAACAGGAAGTCATATTTTGATTTGAAACCCCATAACATTTTCCCGAGATGTTGATTTATGACAAACAATTTGAAAATTAATTAGATTTAAATAATATTTACAAAATATCATCATATTTCCATAAGGATGTACAATTGTATCACTAAATTAATATCAGCCATTTTTAAAAACCAAGGAGAGGGACTGGTGATGGTGAAACATCCCATCATTTGGTATCTCTGGAAAGCCCTGAATGTGCTCTGTACAGGACTCCAGACTTACAACTGTGACATGTGAGGTCTCAGAGAAATTCACTCAAATATAATGTCCACTACAGAGGCAAAAACTCCATAGCTGGGTCTCAGGAGGATATTGCATAAATTGAAATTGACTGGAATGTGTGTATTGAAATATTTTACATTCTGCTAATGATAAAACTGTGCTAGATTATGAGTTTTGTGAGGGAAGGCCCTTATGAGTACGAGTGATTTTCAAGTATTAATTTGTGTATAACGCATGACTGTAAATCATGTGTTTTAGGTATGGGAGTGGCATATGTTGAGTTTTAATATTTGGGTAGGGTCAACGGGCTTGTTATTACAGCCCAGGTTTAATTAGCCTTTGGGCTGATTTTATTACGCAGCAACAGTGGCTCACTGTTGTTACATGTTTTAGGAATAATAGTAGTCATCAAAAGTATTAAAATACACAAATGGACTTATGTAACATGTCCAAAAAAAGGGTCAAATCTATATTATAGCTATTTAGCTTCTTTCAAGTAGCCACCAGATCCACATTACTGCTGTAAGTGCTGTTTTTTAATAATACTGTACACTCCACTTTCATTATACGTTTCTCATATTTTAAACCCAAGCACCCTGTACATTCTCAATCGCTGAACACTCATCCAAAATTTCAATTTCTACAACAAGATCACATTGTTTGATTCCCACTTCCTGTCCAACATTGCTTCAGAAATGTTTTTTTATTTTGAAATGTTACAAAAAAATATCAAATGTTGTCTAAAAACAAAACTGTACAAAAATGTAAAACTGAAACATTTGCAACGATAGTTCTCAAAACAGAAAATCTGGCTAAAAATAAATGCTTGACATTTAACTGGAAAGACAGTTTCCGTGCATAGGAAGAGTCATAAATTAATTCCTGAAGGGGAATAGAAGTCATCCTTCGTCATATTTTCTTTGAAACAAAAAAATGTCCAGTTGGAAAAGGTTTTCGGTTAACACATAAGCTTACCGTATTGTCTGGTTTAATAAAAAATACATTAAGACAATAAAAACATGCAAGACCTCTGATATGGCCGTTACCCCAACTCTTGTTATTATGCATTCATATTCAGATTTGTCCTTATTTATCAAAATTACAATGTCATGACTCATGACACAGACTCCTCCCTTTCCTCTTTGTTCTAATTCAGTCCTCTTTGTTCCTTGTGGTTATGAACTAATTTCCAGCCTTTTCGTCATTCGTGACGGGAGAATTTTCAGGGCAGAACAAGCTGATTCCAGTCTTGAACTCCTCTCCACCCTTCAGCATTGGCTACGGGAGAGGAACTGACATGCTGGTTGAGTCATCACACGATTTTGAAAAAAAGCCGCTCATACTTGGCATCTGAAACGGTTCTCTATTTCTTCTGCAAGAATTTCATTTTATTTCCTGCAAACCAAAATATTTGTGAATAAAACAATGGAAATAACTGCTTCGGCATTGTTATCTTTTTATTTCAGACAAATGGAAAAGCAGCAAAAGATTTACCGAGCCCCTTAAGAAATTTGTTGACTCCACTTGGTTCAGGTTCAGGATAAGAATCCAAATATTCTGCTGCTCTCATTTCAAACAGCCCTGTTAAACAAAACATTCCCCTCATTACTTAAAGGAATGGTTCACCTTAAAAATAACAACTTCAATAACCCAGAATATGTCTTCTCTCACCTTTAACACCTCCTTTTCTGAGCTCTCGGTCATGAATGAAACCAGCAAACATCTGCGTGTCCATAAAGAGCTGGAGAATCTGTCGCACTCCTCGGGATGGATGAGATTTCCTGAAAGCGTCTCTCTGCAGCTCTCGGGTGCCACCGGGTCCTGTGTCGCTCATGTACAGAGAATAATGTCCCACCAGCTCAACAAAGAACCACACAAACGCCTCTGACACCAAAGTGCTCAGGTCTGATTTATCTGTTAGGAGAATGAAACCACAGTGTGACACATTGATACTGCATAGTATATATAAAAAAAGAGCAACAAACTACATGGAAGCTTAAAAAGCCCATAAAATAAGACTTTTGTGGTTTATATGCTAATGTGAGGCATAAGGAATAGTTCACACAAAAATTAACATTAGCTGAAAATGCTTCACTCTATACAAGATGTAGATGAGTTTGTTTCTTCACTGGAACAGATTTAGGGAAATGTATCATCACTTGCTCACCCAATGGATGCAGTGAATGGGTGCCGTCAGAATGAGAGTCCAAACAGCTGATAAAAACATCACAATAATCCACACCACTCCAGTCCATCGATTAACATCTTATAAAGTGAAAAGCTGAATGTTTGTAAGAAACAAATACAACATTAAGACATTTTTAACGTCTTACCACTTCTTCATGCTAAAATAAGAGGCCGCTATCCATAATATTGCTTTCTACATTGAAAAAGTCATCTCATCTGAACGAGGAGAGAAAAAATGCACAGAACAAGCACTGTTTTAAAGCAAAAACAGTGGATTTTGATATAAGAGGGATAGATTTTTTCCACTGGAGGAAGCATTGGAGGATGGATATGGACTGGTATTTGGGCTAGAAGTGAAGGTTTAAAAATGCCTTGATGGATTTGTTTCTTCTTTTCACTTCACAAGATGTTAATTGATGGACTGGGTGTGTGGATTATTGAGATGTTTTTATCAGCTGTTTTGCTTGTCAAACCATTGAAGAAAAGCATGTGAACCTTCAAAATGGGTCTTTATTAAGGCAGCAGTAGGTATGCAAAATTTTAAAATGTGTATTATATACAGTTATATACATAACGCTATCGCGTATAATTATATACAACTATAGCACGTCTATTTTCCTATTTTTAAACAGGACATTTAAATAATCAAATAATAAATAGGATTATATATATTATAAATATGCTTGGAATAATAAGAATACATTTGATCATAAGTATTTTTAATACATTTTCCACAGTAATAAGAATACATTTTATTTTATTTACAGCAGACTATCATGTGACTGGCCTCGTGAGCAGCGCGTTAGGATCACAGAACTCGCTCCTCCACTGTGAATAAATCATCATCCGTATTAATGAGTTTTATCACCGAGGTGCCATGTAAATTGTGACCCTGGAGCACAAAACCAGTCTTAAGTCGCTGGGGTATATTTGTAGCAATAGCCAAAAATACATTGTATGGGTCAAAATGATTGATTTATCTTTTATGCCAAAAATCATTAGGATATTAAGTAAAGATGTTCCATGAAGATATTTTGTAAATTTCCTACTGTAAATATGTCAAAACTTCAGTTTTGATTAGTAATATGAATTGCTAAGAACTTCATTTGGACAACTTTATTGATTTTCTCAATATTTAGAATTTTTTTTTTTTTGCACCCTCAGATTCCAGATTTTCAAATAGTTGCATCTCGGCTAAATATTGTCCTAACAAACCATACATCAATGGAAAGCTTATTTATCCAGCTTTCAGCTGATGTATAAATCTAAATTTTGAAAAATGGACTGGTTTTGTGGTCCAGGGTCACAATTTATTTTTACAGACATCCACATGAGAAACAATTACTGTCCAAATAGGGCTTAAAAGTATTTGCTATTTGATAAATACAGGCCTAAAACGTCCTGTTTTAATAGGAAATGTGAACACAAGAAAACGGTGCTCGTCAAACCATTGGTCCTTTAATATTTAGTATAACTACCATAATGACTATTTGCCGTTGAGCCGGCTTAACGAAACATCTGTAACACCTGAAATCATACTTGTCGGCATGATCCTGACCTCACTGGCCTTGTTTAACGGTTGGTTACTCATCACATCATGAACACACAGACAGTAGGGTTTTAAAACGTGAACAGCTCATTCTGACACAATAAGACAATGAACTGAACCTTCAGTTAAACCAGTTTAAAACTGAACTGAGTCAGATGCTGTGGGTTCGGCTGTGAATAACGGCATGTGTGAGGACTCTAACCTCCTTTCCTGTCTCTCGTGTTTTGTTCTAGGATCTCCTCCCTGTTCTCCAGTATCTCCTGAAGCGCTGCCTGCAGCTTTCTAGGTAAGATACAGTCCTCGTCTCCAAGCTAGGACAACAGAGAGTAGAGAAAGATGAATATAGAAGCAAATTCAGGAAAGAAACAGACATTTTGATACAAAGATCAGATGGGCCCATGATAACATTTCACAAAATGATTTGTCAGCAATTAGATATTCAGCAGTTAGAAGTCTGATGTAGACTATTGTACAAAGGTTAGAAATGAGTATTTATTTGGCAAGGATGCATAAAAAATTAGGGCTGTCAAACTCGATTAATCACAATGAAATTAGGTGTGTGTATTTATATATAAATATACACAGTACACACACAACACGTAAGCACACACTTTTATTTTGGATGCAACTAACCACGATTAATCGATTTGGCATCCTTAATTTAAATCGATCAAAAGTGACAGTTAAGACATGTTTCAAAAGATTTCTATTTCAAATAATTTTTTTTTACTTTCTATTCATCAAAGAATCCTGAAATTGTATCTCGGTTTCCACAAAACTATTGCACAACTATTTTCGACATTGATAATAATAAGAAATGTTTCTTGAGCATATTAGAATGATTTCTGAAGGCAATACATTTCATTATAAGATATATTCAAAAAGGAAACAGTTATTTTAAATTGCAATATTATTTAAAATTATTACTGCATTTTTGATCAGATAAATGCAGCCTTGGTGAACATAAGAGACTTCTTTCAAAACAATGAGGATAATACTAACCCAAACTTTTAAACGGTGGACTATAAGGAAAACAACTGGAATTGGATGACAGTATAAATATGACCAAAAAGACTTCTTTAAACAATCAGATTTATGTCTTTGAATGATAATACAGCTACTCAGGCCGTGACATGAGTTTCAGACCACACCCTCACACACACACACACACACACACACACACACACTTGTGGCACTTTCAAAAGGACACACCTTGTATTATTAGGAGACTAAAACCTGCATACTCACCTGAACGACAAACTTGTCCGCACACAAATCCACAATAAGAACCTGAAAAAAGAAGAAAAAAAAGGATGGAAGGTCAAAATGACAACAGAAAGCAAGAACCCATTTCATGTAATAAAAGTATGTGTCTTTCATGCTCTTTCTAAATGGAAAGCATAAGAAAAAATATTCTAGGTATGTGACATAAAAGTCACTAGATGGACCTGACAGGAACCTCAGAATGCAGTGTTGTATAATTTTCCAAAGTTCATCAGGTTATTTATACAAGACAAATGCAATCTTGTATTCAATGAAAGATTGCAAAATTATTACAATTTTTACTTAATGCATCTGCTAGACTTTAAAAAAGAAAGGCTCCAAATGGAGCATTTTGCAGTAATGCCATAAAAGATTCATTTAGGGTTCTTCAAAGAACCTTTTAGTGAACCATTCTTATTTTATTATAGAAAATAACATTTTAAAACGCCAAAGAACCTTTTTTTTCACCAATAAGACCATTTTGTCCAATGGAAATGTTCCATGGATGTTAAAGGTACTTCATGCAACACAGATGCCAATAAAGAAACTTTATTTCTAAGACCGTGTAGCACCTAGACTTAAACTTGGATCCTCTTATAGATATGATTTTAATACCTTATACTTCTGTCAAATAGTATTTTATTGCTGGCATGGGGAATTTCAAGCTGGTAAACAATGGAAACAATTCAAGGAATGGTGGTTATTAAATTAAACTCTGTAGTCGTAATCAAATCTCAGAGCACTCCTCTGTTGATTAGAAGCATCTTTAGACAGCCTTTGAGAAAATTCTCTTTCTACAGGCCAGAAGATTCTTAAGTAAGACTGAAAGGTTTTGTGCATCATGTAAAACTGGATTGTTTTGAAATAAAACACTCTATTGTTCATAACCCAGTCAAATTATTCAAACTAATCTGAGAAAATCTCTGGAAATCTTTAACACATTCACACATGACCACCAATACATCATACATCAATATTACCCAGTGTTTATTAAATCGTGTACATAAAGATCTTTATTCTGTGGATCTTAGTCAGCTTATTGAATTTTATGCAGATGAAAACGAGGCTGTGAGGGGTAAGACATACAGTCTTTACAATGATAGGTCCGGGAACACGTTCAGTTGAAAGTTATTTTCAGAAAGATGTTTCATCAGATGCTAAACATTAGTTACATTAGTTGCTAAACAAAAGTACAATCCATTGAACCCACTGTATTTCTATCCCTCACAGCCTCAATTTAATTCCTGTAAAATATTAAATATGGCACTATCCCAACTAAGGTCTACAGGTCAGAAAGATTACTACAAAATTAATTACTACCAATTTTGGTGGAAAAAGCCTTGATTAGAATTTTAAGTGGACTTAAATAGGCTCCTTCAAAGTGACTGACCTCCTCAATGGGCATATCCAGCACCTCAGGCAAGGATGGAGACAGCGCCCCCATTACAAAAGGAGTGGGAGAGCAGCATATGTCCAGCATGTTGGCAGGAAGCACCGGTACGAACGTGTGCTGCCACGTAAAGGGATACAGCAACGCCAAGGCAGAATGGGCACATCGGGATAAGACACTGGCCAGAGACAAACAGAGTTAGGTTTGAATTTAACTCTAGCCGTAGCTCTATATGGATATCAGCATGGGTGGTGGTCTGTACCCAAGTTTGTCTGCGATGAAGATCACTCTCCTCTCCAGCAGCAGAGAAGCGAAGACCTGCAGGAGTCTGGTCACACTGAGACACTGTAGCAAACTCTCAAAGTCCACATGCTCCAAACGAGAGTCCACCGGCCTGCACAGAGTCAGAACCTACACATACAACAGAGACACGCAGATGATCCTCAGAAGATAGTGACAAACCTGTTCTTTGACTCGAGTAATTCAAACGGTTTCAAATAGTTAAGAAACTCCATGCAAAAGGCAAAATTGTGTAACAACAATATATAAAATAATAGAAAATTACTCTATTTTGTTTAGTATGGTTTAATAAAAATCATTTGAATGTCAAGTGCCTAAAAATGGTACATATTCATAAAATAATTTTCTTTTAAAACAAAAAAAAACTGTAAAAAAACAAATAATAATTAATAATAAATGATTATGTAATTAATAATGTAATTATTCATAATTAAATTTTATTAAAAAATATAAATTTATTTTTAAGTTATCTTATTTTCCAGGCTTAAGCATAAGTACAAGATAAAACAATTGTGCAAAAAAAGTAATTAATAATATTAAATAATTCAAGAATGCTTGTCCCTTGATTTTTTGTCACAGGTGTTATGTTATAAAAACAATTCTGAAAATATAGAAAGTTGTAGAAAAGTACTTCCAAGGTCAAAGTGCATAGTAAAAAGGCTGTTCAAAAGTACATATGATTTTCCTGCCATGTTGAAAAAGTTTTTATTTACATTTAAGATGATATTTTGATGCATGGTTGAAGTTCATTTTAAAATTGTTTAATGTTCATGTGATTTTTCTTTCAAGATTTTCTTTGAAATTATTATTTGATATTATAACTTATTGATTTTCATCTGATCAGCGACATGTGGTTTGAGATGTTACTGACACAATCTTTAAAAAAAAAAAAAACTAATATATGATAAGTCGTCACTGGTGTTGCAACCATTTATTTGTGAAGTAAAATAATTATAAAATTAAAAATCAAACATTTTGAAAAAATAATTATAACAACAACAAAGATCCAAGTTGCCATTTATGACTAGTAATAAATAATGTCAAGATTTAAATAAACACCTATAATCTGCTTTTATGGGAGAAACTAAATTCAAAACTTCATTTTGTAAGTCATAACCCACATGTAGTAGTGACTACTAAATTAAAGTCTAAACTAAAGGAATAAACGTGATCTTTCCTGAGTTAAACAATATCTTACCTCATTGCCAGAGCCCGGCAGGAAGCTCTTGACGGTGATGGTGTGTCCAGGAGCGGGAAAGGGGGCTTCCATGACACTGTGCATGAAAGGATGAACCAAGGCCGGGGAAATCTCTCTCCTCCTCTCCACCTCCTCCAAGATCTGCTCTCAAACATTTCAGACAGTTACAATTCCGCATCTGTCTTACAGGTTTAGTGCTGATTAAACAGGAAATTCATATCTGATCTCTGAAATGTCCCTGACCTTTGAGAAGAGATTGAAGCAGCCCAGTCTGCTGATGATGCAGTGAACTTCAGGCAGTCTCTTCCCCTTCCCACTGGGCTGCAAGACACCGGTCAAAGGTCAAGGTTAGTGCAGATTTACTACTGAGAGCACACCATATGCTGCTCTCCTATACCATTTATTCACCGTCATGTTTTTCAAACCTGCATGATGACTGATGAGATGTTCGGAATGACAATGAATAAAAAGTGACAGAATGTGCATGTTTGCGCAAAGTATCATTTTTAATTGACCAGAAGAGATTACGTTTACAAAACTCACCAGGATTTTGCGGCAGTATCCAAACAAGCGACTTCCGTCCTCCCCCGTTAGGACAAAAGAAAACGTTTCACTGTGGGCGATAATCAAAGATTATATTAGGAGTGTGAATTAGTTAGCCAAGTAACATATATTGTTTAATATTAGCATATTACCTGTTGTGGTCCGAGGAGGGACGCCAGTCATGACAGTCAGGAAAACAAAACTTGGGAATGGCCCTTAATCTGTCTTCAGCCTCACGAGACAGACGAGAAGACTTCTCAAACTAAATGCAAAATAAAGTCAGAAAAATATTTTGTATAATCAAATAGATAATAATGTCATTTTCTATATTGATTTCTTATTTATATAATTAAAATGGATTTAAAATTAAAAAGTAAAATGTAAATAATGTTATTATATTTGATTACATTCATATAAAATAAATATTAATTACAACATATAAATACATATTATAAATAATTGAATATTATAACTTAAAAATTAGTATCTTTCATTTTAAATGAAAATGTACATGTAAATAATTTGTATATTTGATTATATTTATAAAAATAAACAGAGTTACTATATAAATAGAAAAATAAATATTTAAATATTTAAAAAATATTAATATTTAAAGAAAAAATAAATATATATATATATATATGAAAGATACAGTGGGTACGGAAAGTCAATATAACAAAGAGTGAAAAATTTAAGGGGGTCTGAATACTTTCCGTACCCACTGTATATCTATCTATCTATATATCTATCTAGATAGATAGAAATGTATATTATAATTTAAAAAATAATTATCATTTAAAATTAAAATGTAAATAATTTTATTACATTTCTATAAAAGTCAGAATTACAATATATAAATATCAAAAGAAATATAAAAATATAATAAAAACAAGTAAAAAAGAAAAAGAAAAAAGAAAGAAAATGCTGAAACACACATTCCACAAATTAAGAGCCGCCATATATTTTTCCCAGAATTTGTCATTACAATTTATTAGGTCTCTTTACCTTCGTAGGGAATTGTTGTGTGATCTCAGGGATGTATGCGTTTCCAGGGGAAGCTTTTCTAAGTGACACCACTACAAATTGCTGGAAGAGCTGCTGCTCTTGTAGTTGGATCAGGTCCCTCTCTAAAGTGCGGTAACCCGGCCGTCGCTTTAAAGTTGACTGAACGTACACTGTTCGCTGGGAGTGATCTATGGGAAAAGAATGTAAACAGCCTCGATGGGTTTAGAAAAACTGCTCGACTGGTTTGATATACAAGTTCAACTTGAATAAACAAGAGTTCTCTGAGCCGAGGCCTGAAGTTGACACTGACCTTTAGAGCTCTCCTCAGGATCACTCTCTGTTCCACTTAATTCATCTGCCAAAAAACACACATTTACTGCCTGATTAGACTTCTTCTCTTGGTAAACCAGGTAAATATGAAATATGTATCCTCTTACCTCTGGTTGCTGTCGCCCATACTCGTTTCCTTCCTCTTTTGGCTTCAAATATCTCCTGGATCCTGTTTACAAGCTGCATGAGAAACACACAAACAAGATTTCATTTTTGTATCCTAAAAGCAATATTCCGGCTTGATTACAACTTTAGTTTGTACACTAATGTTCAAAAGTTTGTGGTCAGTAAGATTAACTGCGAGAGCAGTGAGACAGCGCACTGTTGTGGCATCTGCCCTTGATGAGCGGAAACAGCGTGGTGGTGCTTTCCCCCGATAAACACATAATGCTCACTATGTGTGTGGACAGTAAAGACCTTTTAGGCACCACTCAGAGCAAGCATCATGCGCTGCTTTGACCTCCACAGGAGTTTCAAATAGCGTCACGGAAGAGTGATTTTATGAGGTTGCTATAGGTATCAGAATGCAATACACTAAACAATACAAACATGTATTTGAGCTTAGAAACGAAAAAGCCATGACTTTGATTCTTTGCAGATTGATGCTCAAAAAGTGTTGAATGTGGGTACATGAATCTTTACTGTCTCGAGATGCTCTTGAAATGAAGTACCATAAGGACAGCATACAGTCTCATTTTAGGTTAAATTACAACCTGTCAAAATTGACTTTTTTAATGTAGGTGACGCACATGACATACAAGTGCTGACGATTATAAGTTAGAAGGAAAGCATACTAAAACATTAAATGACAGCAAAAGATTAAATCATTAAAAGGATGACTGAAATATATAAATGAATCGTAAAAATATGCCTCAATCAACAATTTTCATAAAGAAAGATTATTTTTAAACATTTATTGTTGATTTGCACTCTAAAACAGTGTGTCCCAGCTATTTTGGTCTTCTGTACCCCTCAGCAAAACTGACTTCCAACACTATGACTTCCTTCTAAATCACATTATACATCATTATCAGTCCTAATATTATTCTTTTAAAAAATGCATTATTTAAAAATAAAAACCAAGTAATATTGTGCGTAAAAAACAGACTCAGCAAGCAGGTTCTTCTAAAAAAGAGTGAAGCAGTTTAAGAAATAAAGAACATTCTTTTATAACTAGACATTTGATGGGATGAAAATAAGAAAAAGCTTTGAAAGTGTCCATAAGACAGGTAAAGAGTATTGCTGTTATGTGTCCAAACCAGTGTTATTGTTAACTATGAAAAATAGTTTTTGGTAACTGAAATTAAATAATATAGAAATTTTAGATGAAAAACAAAACAATTTCGTTTCTTAAAAGGGTTGTTCAGTGGTTTTTTCTAGGCTTGATTGTGTTAATGGGGTGCAGTCTAACATGTGTTAATGCTTCGTTTTTTTAAAAACGCATTATTTTTCACATAATTTACCTTTATTCCACACCGCTCTGTCCCTTCTCTTAGAAACGCGCTGATCATTTCCTTCTTTTATGAAGCCCCTCCCTCAGAAATAGGCGATGGGCTCTGATTGGTTAGCTAGCCCAATGTGTTGTGATTGGCTAAACCGCCTCTAGTGCGCGTCTAAATGTCCCGCCCCTCACCTCAGTGGCATGTGCTCTGGTTGTATTGTAAACAACGGCGTCGTTAATATCGCTTATCAGTTTGAGCCCGATTGAGAAGCAGAGGATATTATTGAAGAGGATCATGCAGAACCTGTGCAAGCATGGCTTTTAATGGTAGGCCTATGTTTTTTGTTTGTTGTTGTCTCATACTTTTAGATACACTGTTATTTGTAAATGCTACTGTTTATGTTAGCTTTTAATATATGGTTTTATCCTGATTAAAGCTTTAATACAGTACAGCAACTGCACTCGCGTCCATGTATAACGCCTCTTCTCTAAAGCAGCGCAGCATGGCCTCGCCCCCTTTGCTGCCTTTTCCAGAGGGCAGGGTTTATCTGGGTTTGTGATGTCCCGAACCCGGGAAGTAACTTGTTGTAGTCCCTACCAGCCGTTTTTCTAGGCATTAAACTGCCAGAATTTTAAAAGACGATATATCCGTTTGCATTGAACTTTCAGCTTCGTAACTTTGCAGATATTGTTTATGCTCAAACAGCAACATTACACACTAACTAATGTTAAAAAAGTGAAATCGCAATGAACCACCCCTTTAAACGAAAATGAGAAATGTTGCCTTAGCAAAGAAATGAAATAAAATATGCTTAAGTTGAAGTACTAAAATTACTAAAAAATAAAACTGAAAAGCTAATTATAGGAATATTACAAAAAAAGCACATAATTACTAAAAGTTATAATAAAGTTCAAATGAAATCAGGAAATATAAAAAAAGAAAGCCAACTAATAAGTACTAATACTATATCTAAATAAAACTAAAATAAAATTTTGGTAGTGTCTTCAGATGTTTAACTTTGAACAGATGAAATAACATCTGCGCTAACCCGTCAGCACAACCTACAAAAGAACTTGACATCTGACTGAACAACTTCCACATTTCCCACATGCTGTTTGATGTTAAAATGGGTGATTTCTATTGAAGAAAGGCTGGTTCTTGCCTCCCCTTTCTGCTCACTCTCTAATATTAAAACAGCATTTCTCCATGAGCTTCATCTACACTGCTTCGGCCTGCTGATTTTAGCTCTTCCAAAATAACTGTATGGATCATACTGACACAAAGCTGAATATAGCTGATTAGTCAGCAGCAGCATCCAGTATGATGCACTGGCACTTCATGATAATCCTCAACCTCTCGTGCTCCAAAACTGAGTGTTTCCTGCCACCATCCATCCATCTTCTCACCACTTCCTCCCTCCCTTTCCCTCTTCCTGCTCAAGCATCAAAGCTGACATTTCTACTCTGACTATGTCTGTTTCTTTTTCTTCTTATATTCACTGCTATTTTATTCATGAGAACTGGGACAAAACCGGCTAGAGAAATGGTTTATGTATCAAATGCATCAAAAATGATTTATATAAAATAATTACCCTGCATCATATTTTCTGAATGAATTCCAATACTTGTTTCTTACTTGCTTACAGAATAGAGCATGTATTGCTCTAGCAGTTCACATTTTCTTACAAAATATGATGCATTTCATTGCATTTTTTGCTTTCGACAACCACTTGTAAGGTAAAGAAGTTTTGTATTATCCCTTAACTTTTGACATTTGACTGCTTTAGTTGTTTTGATAAGTGCATTAAAGCTGATATATACATTTTTATTTTGTGAAAAAACTTTCCCTAATGTAATTAAAGTTTGTATGAATATTTTTGCATCAACTCATGTAGGTAATATTAGGTCTTTTTCTCAAGATGCTGGGCTGTATTGTCAGCATTTGGGTGCAGCTTCTGTTTCTAAAATACTAAAGAATTTATTATATCATGTAAAAGTTTGGTTAAAGTTCATATGCATACAATCAGAGAAACAGGTGACAGCAGGCACATGTTGAGCAATGTTTAATGACGTCTCAGGCACGTGTTTATGCATGTGGGTTTACCGGGGGTTGTCGGTTTGTCCTGTATGTAGTAGCAGGTTTGGCTGCTGATGATTTAGGAGTGTTTGTAGTAGAGGTACGTGTAGGTGACGTTATGGATTCTTTGCGGTCCCGCCCCATTTTATGCAACCGGTCACTGTTAGGTAATAGTGTGAAGGGCTTTGGTGAGATCTGCATACAGTAACAGACAAGAGAAGAAGTGGGGAAACAGATAGTTTAGTTCAACAATTAGCCAGTGGCCTTAATGTTAAATTAATTTTTCTAATTAAAAAAAAAAAGTTTTTGAAAGAAGTCTCTTAAGTTCAATAAGGCTGCATTTATTTGATCAAAATGCAATAAAACGGTAAAAACGTATAATTTAAAACAACCATTTTTTAGTTAATAAAGAAATAAACTGCAAAATGATGAGTGCCTTTTCTATCTCTTTTGATCAATACATCCTTACTGAATAAAATAACTAACTTTTTGAAATAAAAAAGTTTTACTGAAACCAAACATTTGAGCTAGTGTATATGCTTACTGAAATCTGACAAAATCACTATGCATTTAAAATGTCAGTCACCTTGATGTGAGGGCTCTCTCTCTGTCCAACTGTGTAGTTTCGTGGCCGTCTTATAGGTAAACACATAGGAGAAAGCTTGATGTCTTCATATGGGTTCTCTTTTGACATATCCGCTGTAAATGATTAGTTGAGAAAACGTTGCAGCTACTATAATAATAATAATAAGTCACGCAAAAAACATTTTGGTGTTGCAATACATTTAGGGACATGCAAAACAACATGGTTTCAAAATCAACTATTCGGCGAATAAGATTCCTTTTTGCTTTCAAAAACAGCTAGATGGTCTAATGCAGCTATCTTGGGATGCATTTTTGATAGTTAAGACTATCAAATTGACATGGCATCTCAAAAACAGAGGAAGACATCTAAGAAATCTGTCTGTGTAAGCATGTTAATTAATGCAAGTAAAGCATGCACCACTAAAACAAAAAAAACTGTACATTGCCTTTCAAATGTTTGGGGTCAGTAAGATTTTTCAATACTTTGAAGTCTCACCAAAGCTGCAATTATTTGATCAAAAATACAGTAAAACAGTTAAAACAGCTGTTAAAACTATTTGAATATATTTGAAAATATAATTTACTACTGTGATAGCAAAATGTTCAGCATCATTACTCCAGTCTTCGGTGTCACACAATCTTTAAGAAATCTATTCTAATATGACTGAAATTCTAATATGCTGATTTGCTGCTCTTTTCATAACATTATAAGTCTTTATTGTCACTTTTGATCAGTTTAATGTATCCTTCCTAAATAAAAATATTAATTTCTTTAAAAAAAAAAAAATCTTTCTGAACCCAAACATTTGGATGGTAGTGTATAAGAAAAAAGTGAATACAATAAGACGGGAGTCAGTGCAGACATATTGTGCTTCACAGTGATATCAGATTGATGACGTGTGTCTTGGCGTTCTCAGAATCACTCACAGATGATGTCCTCATAGATGCTGTCTTCAGACCGGGCGTGGTAAAGACCTGATCGGAGGCCCTCCTTCCTTCTAGAGGCCTGTTGCGCTGTCCGCCGTACCACATCCTCAAACTCAAATGACTTCCTGTGGAGAAAAGGACCAAGAGTGTGAACAGTCCCTGTATTGTGATCCAACAACAAGGTTTGGGACTTTCATAAAGGGTAACCATTAATCCAAAACGGAACGTTCCAGAATTCACATCAAACAGTTAAAATAGACATGATATAGAATTGATACATTATGACTGGAACAGACACTGGGCTCCAATTAATCAAGAAGAAAAACAATTAGAGGAAGGAATAACCAACAGTGTGACTGTATGAGTGTTCAGAAAGCCCTTGAGTGACCTCAGTAGGCTTCGTTGAAACAGAAGTAGGCCAAATGTGGACAATGGGCTGCGATTCTGCCAAAGAACAGCTGACATGACAGCTGGGGACGAGGCCAGACAGCTAAGCTATCGCCCACTCACAGCTAAACTCTCCACGCTGTCCTCTGACACAAAGCTATACAACTCAGAGTATGAAATAAACGAGAACGACAAGTAGATCTGTACACTTTCTTAAGAAACTGTGAGTGGTGTTTACATAAGTTCACCCCAACTTAATAAGTTCTGATTTGTCCACTGTTTTGGAACTGACATTGATGAGCGGCGCTGCATGTAAAAGCTGAAATTATTTTAACTTGACGTCATCTTAAAAACGTGGCACTCATGTGCAATACGCTGCAAAAGATGCTAGACATTAGCACAACGGTCATGCATGTCCTTCTAGTGCATTCTAGTGCTTGATGTTTTTCCCCATACTATGAAGGTCAATGGAGCTCCAATGTTCATCAAAATATCTTCTTTTACGTTTAGAAAAAAAGACATTTAGGTAATTTTTGGCTAAACTGTCACTTTAAAGTGTCATGAAACATGAGATGTTAACATATATGAACAGGTTGAACATCAGTGAAAACAACAATAGCACTCATTATGTCTATTATTAAGGAAAAGTGGTTATTTTTTCATTTTTTGGAGCAATTTCGTTCTTCCACACTGTCAGTTCATCTCTGTAAACATTACCGTAACAACACGTGGCGTGTGCATGAGAGAGCGGTTTCTGCGCTGAACACCGCGATGAGTTTAACTACACTCACTGCACCAATCATAGTTCGGACCGGACCGGAGCAAGCGTGTTTCAAGTTTTGTGAACATATTATATATTCTCCATTCTATGATATTCTTGCTCGGGTCCTTCAATGTAAGTCTATGGGATGTTTAAAATCTGATTACTTTGAAAACTAATAGCACACCTCTCCTCAACAATCCACATGATTTGAGCTATTAATCAAGGTAAGGCATGTCGGTATGAGAATGTTTCAGGCCAACACCTATTGTTCGTGAGGATATATCATTTGTGACCAGGTTTAACAGGTTTTGAAAGCCAGCAAAACGCTATTTATAAAGGCTTATCAACCCGCTTTTTTGTACAATATAATTATATGAGGAAGTTGTTCGATCACGTTATATTGCTAGTTTTTGGAATCTGCCATTTTATTAACCCAATTATTTTATATTAACTCATTGGTATGACATTACTTATGATGCAGCAAAATTTAAATACGACAAACTGGGTGGAAAACCAAAAGTGGAAATAATATTACTTTAAATCAGAAATTTTATAAAAGACCTGAAAGAGTGGACAAGTACAATGGTGGAAATGGCATCATATGGATCTAAAAATGCTGTTAAAGACTTCAACAATTAAAGAACAGAAATAATTGATGGCAATTTTGTGTTTGATCTTGTACTTCATCTGTATTTTCTTTTTGTCTCCCTTCCCCCTCTAGGAACTTGTAAGCCATATGATTGTTTTGTTGTACACATGCCTGCTACCAACTCTAAAAACCTCAATGAAAGAAAGACTTTGTTTACAATAACTAAACAAATTCTAAATATTGTAATATTTTGTATATATTGTGATTGTGACATGATTACATTAATATATGTAACAATGAAACAAGATTCATTCATGAATAAGAAATTGAGTTTAAAGTATTTACAACTGTTGGATGCTGTACTAAAACTTCCTTCATTTCCTTTTCTTATGTTTGGGATTAGCTGTGTAATGTAATCCACACTGTGGGAAAAGTATTCACCTGTTCTTTCTGCTTCTGGAAAACCCATTGATAGTATTGACTGGACAAGGAGGAGGTGGACAGCTGGGTGGCTTTAGTATGATGTCATGCTTCCGGACTTGATTCGATTTGCTGACTGATGGAGTCTGGTTCTCCAGTTGCATCCATTGGCCGGGCGGATTGCTCGCACCCTTGTACTGGAATGTGCGCTGTGGTTTAGGTGGAGGAGAAGAAGGTCCAATTTCACCAAGACCCTTAGTCACTATTGAGGAATCCTTCTCCTTCTCCCATAAAGAGTCATCTGCCTCCAGTCTTTTCCAGAAACCCCTGGAGGTGTAAAAGTTCCCCGGAGGCAATGACGCCTCATCTACACATTGAGGTAGAGATGTAATTTCGACATCTGTGGAATGGTTTGTCTTGATATTATTGCTTTTAACATTCAGTTTAGCCACTTGGACTTGGGTTACAGTGCTTAAAGGCTTAGTCACAGGAGTTGATGTAACTAATTTATTTGAATGAGTTCGATTTCTTGGGAAATCAGACTGGAGTTCATCTGTAACAGGTCTAAAAGTCATCTGGTTTTCCCTGAAATCCAAACCCAGGCTTTTGGCTTTTGATACAGTCGCTTTGTTATGACCTCCATCATTGCCATCAAGTCCATTTCCAAGGAGGTCCCCTGAAAGCCTGCGAGATGCAAGATTCCGCTGGGGCTTAATATTCCCACTGGGGACGTCCTCCTGCTGGCTGAGTCCCTCCCATTGGGAGATTTTCTGCTTGATGTTGATGCCAGGCTCTCGCGTCATCGGCCACGCTGCCGTTGTTGTCGCCGTCTTTCCTGCGACGACACTCCCCTCTCTTTTTCCATGGTCCACTCCAAGGGCCAGCATGACGACGAGGCTGCTGTCACACCACAGGACTGTGTGGCATTGCAACAGCGAGCCTATCAAGGAAGAAACCCTTCCTTTGTGGTGCAATGAAGTTAATAAAGATCACCAAAGAACCCTTTTCCTGTAGGAGTCAGTTCCTCTGCCATTCTTCCTTCACTTTGAAGCCTGCAAAGGAAAAAAGCAAACTCAACAAGTGGGTTTATTTAAGATTATTTAAAACTGAAATGGTTACTGGTTTGAGTTGATTTGTCAAATACTTTGGTGAACATTCCAAATTCCTGTATTTTGTCATTTTGGCTGTGCGATATTGAAGAAAAATGCGATATGCGATAACTCATTAAATAATGCGATAGTCGATATGCGATACGATAACGCTGTGAACAGTAGTGCTTTACTCTAGCATTACATAAAAATGTCATTTTAACATTAGTGTAATAATTTTAACATAAGTTTAGGAACTGAATAATAAAAAAGGAAAAATACAACACTGCTTAGTATTTACTCTATGAATTCATAATGCACTGATTCTTATTTAAGCTATAAATGTTATTTAGGTAAGAGCAGGGAGTTATTTTTCATAACTTTTGTTCATGGCCCCATATATTGCAAGCCGTAGCGATATGCATATTGTGATATGTACATTTGCGATATTTCGATAATTTCGATATACTGCACAGCCCTAATTAGCCCATCTCGAGCAGCGTCTCTTCAGTTCTGCTGCACACGTGCAAAGTTACAATGATATAAAATTAGTGTCATTAATTTTTTTTGTTTGTCTGTTCACACTGATGTTAAAATGACATTTTCTAAATTGTGACAATACTTTTTATGTAATGCTATAACACTGCTGTTCACTTTCAGAAGTTGTAGTGATTCTTTCTTTTCCAAGAAAGAATGTGAAACAAATTGGTTATATAATTTTCATTTTTAAATATTTTAAAATATAATTGAAATTGATTTTACACACTTTAAGCAATATCGTATCGCATATCGCATTTTTCTTTAATATCGCACAGCCCTAGCCCTAATCAGTGTTGGGGAAAGTTACTTTTAAAAGTAATGCATTACAATATTGCGTTACTCCATAAAAAAGTAACTAATTACGTTACTTAGTTACTTTTTATGGAAAGTAATACGTTACGTTACTTTTGCGTTACTTTTTAAATCTGGACAGGGCTTGCTTGTTTGTTTTTAAATAAAAAAGTTATATTTTTGGCAAATATAAAAGCCTTTTCACACCAAAATTGAAATGAATAAGCCTCAGGCTGAAGGGAAAGTAAATTTACGTCCGTACGGTAGAATGCAGAAAAAGAAATTTCAACACACTTCAGCAATAAAAAAAAAGACGCACAGATGTTTGTCTAGCGTAATTTGTGCTTATTAGTACGGTTGAACTGGATCATTGAAGGTCAGAAGCAAAGACATTGGTTAATAGAATGGGATTAAATACATAAAGGATATTTGTGTTGTTTAACATTTAATTATTGCAGGTTTGCGTCATATTCCGAGTTGCATTATTTTTATTCATTTTGAGGAATACTGAATCTGTGTTTTTTTTGTGAGTGAGATGAATTAATGCATATTCATATTTATTTTAGAACTACAGTAACATCTGATTTCTCTCAACATGGGGACAGGAGAGCTGTCAATCAATAAATTGGAAAAAAGTAACTCAGATATTCTCTTGTAAATTAAAAAGTAATGCGTTACTTTACTAGTTACTTGAAAAAAGTTATCTGATTACGTAACTCGCGTTACTTGTAATGCGTTACCCCCAACACTGGCCCTAATATATATATATCTATCACAAAAAAAATGCAATGTTAGGTTTAATATCACGCATCCAACTGACAAGCACATTTTGCACACATAAAAGATGACGGTCCCTGCATGCTGCATAAATGCAGGAAACCAAAGATCGTCACTGTCAAGGTCAGCAGCGAAACCAAAAATAAAAAACCCTAACAAAGAGGAGACGGACAACCACAGGAACATGGGAGAAGACAAAGCATTCTGGGGGCCTCCATCCCCAGGAACACCCACCACCCCCACTCCCACCCTCTCCAGCTGGGCCCTTCCCAAGAACTGCTGTGCATTAACACACTTGAGCATAATGTAATTAAATTTCACTCCTCCCCAAAAGCTTCTTTCAGCCGCTGCACAAAAAGGATGGGCATTCCAAGTATTTCCACATCCATGTGCGCATAATAGAAGGGCCTTCATTGTGGCACAAGAACGAGCGGTCAGCACATCAATGAGGAAAATATGCACGATTTCATGCATGTTAATAAGCGCTGGTGTCTATGCAACAAAAAGAGGCCACTTGAAATTCCTCTTTCCTGCGTCTACTGTAGACGGGATGGATCTGGCAGCTCTAACGCAAGCCCTCATCTGCAGCCAAAGTGTTTTGGACACGTTGCACATTACGCTGAGAGTTAAGACATGCTGGAATTTCTTGGCACTGCGATTGAACGACATATATTCGGTAAATATGACCACATTTGATCAGCCGGACCCGAAAATGATGCCTTTGTTCTGGATGACCTACATCTAACGTACGCGCTGGAATCTCTCTGTGATTCGAACCAGATTTCATCCCCCTTGATCATCGCATCTACTGACCCACTTGTGTCTGCGAGCGTGTGCAGGAAGGCCTAGCCTGTGTTTCCGGATTCACAGGAAGGCCGGATCAGCAGAATGTCCATAACGATGGTTTTACAAATTTCATCTGGTGTAGTATTTCCAAGCTTGTTTTTTGTGACTCAGATGTCTGGAATGAAATTGGACACGGCAAAGTTCACACATGGTGCTGCGTAAGTTTGGACGACCAGACCAAGCAGTTAATTACAACTTGCGAGGGTCTGCTGCAGTAAGCCGTCTAACTCCAATCATCCTGACTTCAACTTCCCGACTGCGTGCGAGGAGGACGATCCCGTGACGTTAACCCACAACCTGAAAGGCGGTATAAATCCTTTCTCTCTTTTCTCCAAGCCGCCTGCTTCCAGGTACGCCGATGAAGCTCTACATTTGGGGTTTGGTTATCAAAAGAGTCATCAGCAACCGCAGACATACACAAAACACCCCTACAACGCCAACATCAACCAGACACTAGTATTACCCCAGCCCTTAAATGGTAGACAATCAAGACATAAATAAACTATAATATTACCTTGAACAGGTGATCCACCCACCCCAGGTACTTGTGCATGAGGGGACATGTCTCTGGGTGGAGTAGATCAAGAGGGTGGGAAAGTGAGTAAGTTCACTGTCAAAACTAAACCTGATCATGACAAAACATTGTGTCAAATACGGTCTAGCATATTGAGCTGTAAAAGTTAACAAATAACTATGGTGTCAAACTATAGACATTTTCACCCAAAGGCGAAATGCGAAAAGCTGAAAAATTAGACTTTATCCAGCATGAATATATTAATTTTTGATAAGCATGTATATTTGAATGCTAAATTTCAGCATAGTTTAAATGTAAACAAAAGGCGTCTATAATAAGACACGAATAAACATTTAAAAAGGGTATTTATTATTAAAAGCTCTAAAATCAAGTATGAAAAATAAAATATAGAAATATAGAATAAATCAAATGTTAAATATAATGAATTAAAATAAAACAATAAATACATTTTAAATAAGTAAATAAATACATACATAATTACATAAAGAAATACAAACACACATACAAGCAGTAGAGCTCTATCATGTCAGCCAGTTTAGATCTTTTGTTATGAAGAAATATCAACTTACGCAAACTTGCTCGCTGTTTCACAACACATATGTTGGACTCAGCTGAAATAAATCGAAATAAAAGTGCTCGTAAGAGTTCACTAAGAGTAAATACTGAGTCTGTAAGTCTGTCGTGGACTCGAAGTCTTCATATCTTACGGCTGGTTAGCCAGGCGGCTAAAAACTTGCTAGGAAAAAAAAACTCTGTATCCATTCACTTTCACAGCGAGTAAGCGACGCGTTTCAAAGTAACAAATAATTCCCGGCAACTGGCAACAACGTAACTCCTGTTGCTGTTTATATTCCCGACAGAAACTACAGTAGCCTCTCCTCAGCGTTCCTTGAGGAGTGGATGTGTTCGTGGAAGTCCTCCTCCTGTGCTGTCAGTTCCCCATCTGAGCTTCGGTTCCTCTGAGTGGATGAATCAGCTCACGAGCTGCTGCTGCAATAAAAGTGGCTCTTCATAAAACCAGCCATGTGTGTTCATGGGAACTGATTCGGTAGAAAACTCACCATCTTGAAACGGAAATGCTGCTTTATTGTGTTGATTTTATTGTTTTAACTCTATAGTGACACGAGGGAAATGTATGCTAAAACTGCTTTTTATTGGCACTATTCTACAGGGAGCAGTGTAGCCCATAAAGCACTCTTTTATATAAATAGGATATTATTATTTACGAGAGCTTACAATACAATTACATTTTGTATTCATTCTGTGTCTGTGTGTGTATATATATATATATATATCACACACACATACAACACACATAGGCTACACGTGACTTCACATAATATTAACCTATTCATATTGTTGACCTATTTTATTTGTGATTTGTTCTATGTGCTTTGAGGTGTGTTTTATACACACCTCAAAGGAGGATTGCGAACTGCTGCCAGCAAGTTACTGTAATTTCTACAGGAAATTTTTAACAGTGCAGGTGATTGGGTTCACCTGTTGCTGATTTGCTGTCCATTCACCTCAGCTCCACTGATTGGCTGCAGCCAGGAGAAAGCCAGCATATATAGCCAGCACTGTTTCACAACAAGCTGAGAGGGTTGCAGATTGTAACCTGTCACATGGATTTCTTTTTTGCTGGTGCCAGATAACGTTGTTATTAAGTGCTAACCATTGGTGTTACTGTGGATTTAGTTGGGGACTTGTAAGTTTGTTTAGAATTTAAGTGTGTTGTAAGGGAACTTGTAGGGAGGTGGGTGCCTTTTTCTTTAATTGCTTTTCTCCTGGTTATCTGGGTAGTCAAGGAGATCGGGAAGTTAATTTTGTTTTGTTTTATGCATAGGTAAGTTAGGGTTAAAATGGAGTTAGAAATCTTTTTGTTGGTTGTGTTGGCCTTTGCTCCCTCCTGAAGCTTGTTTCCCTTTTATCTTTTTCTTATGATTTAATAAAAAAAACGTAAGTTCTTGTTTGGAGGTGTTATTGGGGTTGGAGACAAGAGGTCCCTGTGCTTTCTCTCTCCAAAATGTTACTGCTAGGTCCGTTACCTCTAGACTAAAAGGGTTAGCGTGTAACTATGTATAGCAGTTATTTATTACATATTCTGTACAATATTAACCCTTTAACTGTTACCCGTCCCCTCTGTGGGTTGCCTAAATTTACTTCACTATATTACAATTAAATCCTAATCTAATCATGACAAACTATATATCGTTGGAAAGGTCTAAGACTCCTAAATAGATATTTTACCAATGTTTTTGTTAAAATTATGTAGGAAAAGTAATGATTTTTTTTGACAAGAGTGCACCTCAAAAATCTACATCATAACAGGAGTTCTGAGCTTTGTCAAAAAAAGTCGTCTTTGTTGCCTTTTTCTCTATCATACTTTAGAAATCATCAGAAATGATATATCAATTGAAAACTTAAAATCTCAAAATTCATCCTTTGAACCCCATTTTAAAATCAAACATTGCATTACCATGAATATGGTGCATCAATATCATGTTACAAAATGTTTTCGTTCATGAATTATAAATTAAGTTTGGATCGTGCACTTTCACGTCTATGTTCAAAAATGTGAGTGACAGTTAAGGGGTTTTAAGTATAAAGTCATACAATAGGTCTGAGAAACACAAAAATTAACATGATATTCTCTTACTATCTTCTTATACAAATCAAGTTTTGCAAGATGCATGACACGTTATGCCTGGTTTGGCATCAGTGACAGTAAATGTCACTGGTTCTCATGTTCCCAAGACGTTTACCGAATGTGTCACGATTAATTTTAATTTGCAGAAGTGCAAATGATGTTTGCAAGCTACAGATGGGGAGATTTTCAGTGAATAATGATTGAGATTTCATATCGTTGCTTACACAAACCTCTTGTATGACTTTAGAAGACTTGGAATACAGTGAAATGGATATGGATTAACTTTAATAATAGTTTTGATGTTTGTTAGTTTTTTTTTTAAATGGAAGTGGTTTTGATGTTCTTTTTAAAGCTTGATAGTCTCATTTTATGAAAAAGGACAGCATTAACATCTTTTTTTTTGTTGCTCAAAAAAGTTAGTTAAATTATGGCAAGTTATGAGCAAACAATGGCAGCATTTTCAATTCTGTGTTTAATATAAAAATCAGAACACTGTATATTTTAAATATAGATTTTGTTTATTGAGTCAACTGTAACAGGTTTTTTTCCAAAGCATGACCACAAAAAACATAATACAATAAGGCACAAAGTAGATTATTATTAAACTTTATTTGAAAAGGGACCATGTACAAATTTCCATTTCATGCATTGTACCGAATTTAGCCAATGGCTAGTTTTCATCCACGGTCCCTTGGCAGATAATCATAATGTAAACTTATGTAAACTTAGTTGTGTAAACCTGACTTACAGATAAGACATAAGACAAAATGCACAAACCAACAATGAATCGGACTCCTGTGTACAAGAAGACTCAAAATATGTTCTGGAGTGTCAATTCTCATTAAGATATTGGCTATGTTTCATGGTTTGTTATCTCATGGGCTTCACATTGATGCTAATATAAATGTCATTGGAAGTGACAATTTAAGAAGAGTGTAGAACAATCCACTTTTCATGTGTGCATGTTTGTTTAGTCAGCCATCACGCCCTCTCTAATGAGGTTCAGCTCATAGCACAGGGTCTCGTAGCGGTAGGCCATGCGAATCTGAGCCAAGTTGGTTTTGCGGATGTCATTGCCTCCAGGACCATCCTTCAGGTAGTTGATACCAAGGAAGTGAATCTTTTCCTGTTTGTGTGAGAAAAAAAGATCATGTTGCAATGTCAAGTCACCTTTATTTCTATAGCACTTTACAGACTGTGCATAGTCGCAGGAATGTGTTTTGAGCAGGGGGTGGGGGGGCTGAGAAGTAAAACCAGGGGTTGCAGGTTGGGGTCACGTGACAAGAGTGATGCGAGAAGACTGACACTATGATGACGGATCCAAAAGCAACTTTTGTTAATAAAACTTTAATTTCTTCATTTAATATGAGTGTCTTTATTGTTTAAGAGTAAGAGTAATATTGAATCAACCTTAAGCATTAATTTTGTTTCAAGAATAGGAAAGATCTAATGTTAAAGATCAAAATAAGCACTACAAATGTGAAAATGTGAGATTTGTTGCTGTTGAGTTAAACGCTCTTGCTCTTTCTCTGCTGTCTCTTTGCTATGTCTGTAGATATGGTCATTAATTCTTAATTTGGGTACAGACATGCTACAGGTAATAATATGATCAAAAAATCATGGCAACAAATGATTTTTTAAGTCAGTTTAATAAGTTGAAACGACTTTCAGTCAACTTGATTCAACTAAACTCATGTTTAACCGTTGCTTCTTGTTGGCTTGGGCTACTTTTTCAATGAATTTTAATGGATATACAAATTAATAAAATTAATTTTATTTATATTTTGTTTCAAATTGTTCATTTATTTTTAAGACTGCACCCCCAGCACCCCCATTTTTTTGTGGGTTACACTCCAGGGGGTGCTGCAGTACTCTCAGCACCCCTACTTCCCGCGGAATAATGAGATTGTGTCAAAGCAGCTTCACAGAGACAGGCAAATAGCAGAACCAATTATGGAAACCCCACTAAAGCAGCTCTAAAAGACAATAGTGTCATTTTTTTAGGTTATATCAATAACAGTGTAAAGATCATGACGTTTGAAATGAGATCAATTCAGATGTAAACACAACAGTTGTACAGTCTGCAATGTTGTTTTTCAGTTCATATAAGTTCAGTGTTGATTCAGTTTAATCAGTATAATACTAGTGTTGATGTTGAAAGATGCGACTCAGCTGTAAAGCGGCTATACAGAAGATGATGGTGCTGAAAGTCCACAAAAACACTGCTTAACCCTCGTTAGGTGTGTAACTTCCAAAATTAATAAATGGGAATTATTAATTATTAGATATGGAATCATTAAGTTCTTACATTTAAGTGTAAAAAGCCCCCAAAACATTAAGATCAGTGTTGTTATTGTTACCTAAAAGTAGAACTTATCAAAATAGTTTTAGTAAGTTTTAGTTTAGATACAAAGCTGAAATAAAATAAAATGTATAAATATGAATTGAAAAACCTAAACTTAAAAAAGTTAAAAATCAGAAATGTTGCCTTGGAAACTAAATTCAATAACATATGTTTAAGTTGAAGTAGTAAAATGACTAAAAAATAAAACTGATATAAATAAACCAAAGCTAAACAGAAATAAACAAAAATAAAACTGACAAGTTACTGAAACTTAAAATGAAAAATCTAAATATAAAAATAAAGGCTCATTCAAAATATTAATAAAATAACTGATTAAATTTAGATACATACATTTTAATCTGTGTTATTATAGTATTATTTATTAATATTTTAATTCAAATGAGCTTTAAAGTAAAATTAAAATGAAAACTGAAAATATAAATATAAACATAACACATACACACATAATTTGTGATTTAAAAATAATCTATTACAGGGTTGCTTGTAAAGTTGTGTAATTTAATTAAAGAAATGTAGCACCAGTAAAAACATTACACATATAATCTATAGTTACACAACAAAAAACCTTAACATTTGCTATATTCTAAAAGAATATGAATATACCTTGGGTCTAGATCAGTAAAAGTATGCATATAAAAAGAAAAGATAAATTGATGTTTCAGTGATGTGTTTGGTCAGGTGCCCTCACCTCATCAGATAGGCCACTCTGGAGAACACTGTTTCTGGCAATCTCACACATGTCACAGGTGCTGAGCTTGAACACCTGGGCTGCAATGGCATATTCCTCCATAAGGGGCTCCTAGTGATGCAGGATTCAAATAACACACAGATATCAAATCAATGGAAGGGAGGGAGAAGAAGCAACTAATTTGTACATAAGAAAAGGGGTGAAGCCTTACCTTAGTGTAGTGGAACTGCATGGGGTCATCAGTAGACAGAGAGACCATCAGTCCCTTCTTGTGGAACTCCAGCAGAGGATTCTTGTTGTACTCTAGGAACAGACTGTTGTTGCTGAGTGGGGACATGGCAATGGGGACCTGGGTCAGGTAATACAGATACTGCAGGACAGGGCTCTGTGGAACGTGAGGTGACAGTGAGTGTATTTTGAAGACAGAAAAAGTGTATGGGGGTAAGGTGTATTGGTCAGGGTAAATGTAATAAATCAGGGTAAAATGCCTTTCTCACACAGAACAACCTCCTCGACAGCAACC